TGAAGATCAAAAAATTGATCATTAGGATTTAAGATCACATAGATTTGAGTATCATCAGCGTAGAACATAGCATTTAGACCATGGAACTTGATTATATCCTCAATTGGACTTACATAAAGTGTGAACAGCAGTGGCCCAAGGACGGATCCCTGGGGAACTCCATGACTGAGTGGCGTAGACGAAGAGTCACAACCTTCGACAGTAATATACTGGCTACGATCACGCAAGTAAGACTTTAGCCAACATAAAACTGTACCAGATATTCCAAAACGATGTTCAAGTCGATGTAAAAGGATGGCATGATTTACAGTGTCAAACGCAGCCGAGTAATCAAGCAGAACAAGCAACACCTCACATCCAGCATCAAGAGCCATAAGGAAGTCATTAGTGACACGTAGAAGTGCGGTTTCAGTACTATGGTGACGCCGATAGGCGGATTGAAGTGACGAAAAAAGACTGTTTTCAAGCAGATAGGTGTTAAGCTCCGCAGCAACTACCCTTTCCAGGGTTTTTGACAAGAAGGACAGGTTCGAGATCGGGCGATAACTTGCCAAGTTYTCAGAATCAAGAGATTTCTTCTTAAGTCTAGGTACAACACAGGCTATCTTCAATGGATGAGGCACATGACCATTTGATAGAGAGAGATTAACAATGTGTGTTATCGTAGTGGCCAGGACTGATAGACATGATTTTAGAAGACACGTTGGAATGGGGTCTAGTGAACACGATTTYGATGACGATTCCATAATAATCTTAACCACTGCATCAACACCAATATCAGAGAACGTAGTGAGAGAGGACCGACAGACAGGTTGAGCCGTCGAAAAGGCTCTGGGCGACGTCAGAGTTGTCGATTCAACAAGCAGTCGTACTTTTTCAGTAAAGAAATCACAAAAAGATGTTGCTAACTCATGAGCAGAGGAGAAAGCAGGAAGAGTTGATCCAGAGCGGCCATTCGCAAGTTTGTCAACTTCAGCAAACAGCATGCGGTTGTCACAGCTAGAGATGTGATCTTTATGATAATTTGTCTTACATCTCTTGACCAAGTCTTGATATTTACTACATTGATCTTGGAAGATCTGTTTGTCGACTTCAAAGCGTGTACATCTCCATCGTCGTTCTTTCCGTCTTTTCTCGCGTTTTTCAGCGCGTAATTCATCATTATACCAAGGGGCATGAGGACGAATGGTGAGCCAGCGGGTCTTCACTGGTGCATGGACATCAACTATTGACTTCAAAGTTACGTTGTACTGTTCGACTAGTTCGTCTAACGTCACTTTAGGAGCAGCAAACAACAATGTCACTTGCCGAAGGATCTTAGTATTGACAGAGCGCAGTTTGCGGTGATTAACAAGAACMTTAACTGGACGAGGTCGAGGTATCTCAATAGTACAAGTGAGCACTGCATGATCAGATGGTAGTTGAAATGAAACCTGTAGTCAGAGTTAGTAGAGGAGACTAGTCTCCTCTACTAACTCTGGTTTTAGCTTTCGTACTAATAACGGGCATATGAGTCCCAAAATTTGCAAAATTGTGGTTTGTGTATCATAAAAAAATCGTAAAATTGTGTATCTTAACTCAAGAAAACTTGTTCGTGGAAAACCAATAAAGTGTTGCGAGTCGTTCCGAGTTACAACCTGTTGGGAAGTTACTATGAGCAGTACGCGAGAGCGAGAAATCCGCGGGAAAATCAACTTCGTCTCCAGGGCCATCTCGGTCGGTGATACAAGTATGTCCCTGCGCCTGCTGAAAATTTCTAAGGAAAGGGATGGCGCTTTAAAAAGAAGCTTTTACTCAAGATATTTAAAACATCGTAAAGGAAAATATAATGCGGAACTCGATGGTTAGTCTTGATGTATAATTTTGCAGAGGTTTGCATTATCTATGTGTTGATTTTGACGATGATCTAAATCCGTCAGATCAGAGTGTCTTAATTATACAATCATGCAATTACCACATACACTGGAAGTTAGCTTAGGAATTACCTTGACCCCAAGGTTGGTCAATTTTACAAGTGTTCAATCAATCTAGTATTTGTATTGTATTTGATCAAACCTCTTGCGCTCATGACGCAATGCAAAAGTTTTTGTGGGTACTAGCTGCTTAGTTGAAAACTACACTCTTTTTTATTTAAAATATCAGAACATATTCAGACTGGAGGACAACAAATATATTGCAGCAACATTCACCCTGAACAAAAATACCGGCTTAATGGGCACTCAATCTTTTGGATGGTTGCTGCATGCTATAAGCTTATGTATTTTACTACACTGATTTCTATGTCGCATTGAGAATTCATATCCTCGAATTCTCAGGTACAGTATACATGATTATTATCATGGTAAGACTGCCTTATAATGTATGTTTTTTTGTATTTTGTCAAATTGTAGTTTTTGTAGTGGTTGAACATCAACTGAAGTTTCTTTTTAAAATAGAAGAAGAGGTTGGCATGTAGGGGGCCTTGGGGGGGGGGGGGGGGGGGGGGGGGGGGGGGCACACTCAAAGAACAATCTAGAATAAATAACATAGATTAGATTAAAGTGCATATGACACGATTTTTTTTTATTTGAAAAATAGAGTCTTGTTAAACAAGTTAGGACAACAAGAGATTTCGACGTTTCGACGCCATCGCGCGTCATTTTCAAGAATAATTTATTAGATCGATCACTACAGTTTTTATATGTTATATGAATATATTACATGTCTCTTGGGATAATCTTATTTTAGAACACTTTAAAAAATAGAGTCAATAGAACAAGCATAACAGGTTGGCTAATTACCACTTGACGCAGGGCTTCAAATTTCAGAGAAAATCGGAGTTAAAAATCCATTATGCTAATTTGATGACATCAATTAATGTGGTTGCTCTAAAACATTTCAACTGTGTTTTGTAACAAGTGTTCCTAATATACCCATGTCAAACTTTGAAAGATTGTTTTTGATTACATAACAAATATCTTCTACAAAACAATAAGGTGACAATAAACAATCAGACAATTTTGTATGATTAATGAGTTACATTTTGACGTCATCAAATTAGCATAAAATCCATTTTTCTCTGAAATTAGAAGCCTGCATCCAGTGGCACTTTACATAACTATTATTTTCTTCATATTGATTTTATTTTCAAAACAAAAAAATCATGTCATATGCACTTTAAGAATGGTAATAATGATGTGATCAATTCTTTAATACAGTAATGGTCACAAACCAGCTGTTGTCTTTGGGACAAAGAAGTATCCACATTAGAGGCCAGGCGAGGTGCAGGTTAATTTATTTGTATAAACCAATCTCTCACCATAATAAAATAGTTATTGTAAGACGCTAGTATCTAGGTAAATATCACAACAGTAATGACTTCCATAATGAGTATATTGTAGAGTAAGTGACAAATGATAAAAGGATCATTGTGTAATCATTTGTTCCTAATTTATGGTTAATGCCTTCTAAGTCCAAAACACAATGTTGCTGTTTCCTTATGTTTTGTAATATACAAATGAGCAGGCAGAGCAATTTCTTGTATCTTCTGACATACTTAATTTAGGTAGGGTTGGTATGTTAGAAAATACAAAAAATCTCACTAAACACTCATCCAAAAGACCAGAAAGTACACATAATTTAGGTACACAATTTTTTGCTTCAATTTTTTGGTGCTGTATTTGTACTGTTTTTTTAACTTTTGGATTGACAACATAAAAAAACCTGTAATGTATATTTTACACTAACAGACCTGAGTACGATGTAATTGCATTGTTTTTTCTTGTGTCTATCACACTTGATCAGTATAGTCAAATTTTCCTTCACAGATTCAGTGTGACTTAATGGAACATCTAGAGTAAGGTCGTTTAATTGCCTAGACGTTTATTTGATAAGTCAGATAACATACTAATAGTGTTAATCTATATGAGGTTTAACTGTTCACTGTTTCATGTAAATCGTAGTACAAAGTCAATCATATTACATCATCTACTCAAAGCTACAATATAGCTCTTGAAATCAATTCCTGGGAACTTGCTGTATTACCTACGTCAGTGGGTGTCATCAATTAATCGAAAATTTATTCTTTTGCGTTAACAGTGTGAACTATGACATAAAAGTGTGCCACCTTAGAAGACCTTAAAAGTATGTCATGTAATCATACCCTTCTTTATTGCCTTTAGTAACTTGATCATAACGTATACCTTTTGTAATGAAGACAAAATACTGCTTTCAGCTCTAAAGAAATGCTATTTTAAAAAGAACATAATCAGGGATGTACACAGAGATGATAATTATTAATATTTTCTAGAATGCTTTTGATAAATCTCAGTCCTGTAATTTTTAAAATTCAATTGCCATTTGAAAAGTATTACGTGCAGTAGAACATCGCATTCCCGATAACTGTTCATCGCTTAAAATTATTGATGATGTCATATAACTGAATAACACCATATCTGTACAAAAATATTGAATATCGTTCACCAAAGTGTGAAATAATTAATTATCTTGTCACTTGTACTTTTATTACTTTAATTGATAGCTATCAAATGCAATCGAGATTTTTTCAAGCATGCACGCTAATGACTCTAGAAAATAAAAGCTGTTAATTGCTCTTTTTCTATCAGTTTCTACAGGCTCTATTATCTACATTTTGTGTTGCAGTTGTAATTTGCAGGTGTAACGAAGTGACAACTACTTGGCTAACTCAAGTACCATTAAAAAGAGATGTTTTTGTAAAGATCAGAGTTTTGAGGTCCAAGGGCAACGTTGAAAACGTCACTATACAAAGCTTTATAATTTTTTTTGTTCCTTATAAGCTGTCTTTTTATCAGAATTGAATGTTTTTAGGTTTTAAGGTAACATTCCTCTGTGTATTTCATGAACATTCCATAACATCTTTTCATGCGTATAGTACTTATCTGAGAACAGCATTCACTCAAATCGGTTCCGTTAATGGCATTTGTAAAGTACTTTATATTGGATTTTATCACGATCTGTTCAAAAGTGCATTAGACTTATGAAGGGATGTACCGATTTTGAACAGCTAACAAAACATGATGCGGTACATAATATCCGCACCTTGGTTCCTATCTGCGATGTTTGTTATAACTACGCAACAGTTACTTGATTTTAATGAAGGTATGGTTATCGATCGGTCGATTTGATTTTATCCTAGAGTTTGCAATGAATGATTTTCCCACAGGAGTACAATACACTTGAAATCTTAAAGACTTTACTGAGTAAAAGTCGTAAATATAAAGCTTTTTTGTATAGTTAAGCGATTAATATATGACTTTCAAGTTTTTCAAGACATAGATTTCACTTGAACGAGATTATCACTCGGACCCATATAGCCTGTAAAGCGATGTAATTTCTGTTCACAATTTATAAAGTAAAACGAATACACTGTCCACAATCGGTATTGACAATCAAGACTACGCTATTTTCTAAAGTTCCACGACACGTTGAAAAAAGTAGTGGCGTTTCGGGCTTTCAAATAGTAGTAACCCTAGTATAACAATCAGGAAGTCTGATGGTCCTAGGGAGTAATTTAAACGAAAAAAAAATTACGAAACTTCAAAAATTCATATCTTTGTCAAGAGCTATCTCCTTTAAAATTTTATGATGTGACCAACTCGATGATTGATTTCGTTTTCGTATTTATCATTTATCAAGTATTTCAAAGTGATAATGGACTATGGAAGACATCGTGGGAACGTAGTACGCTCTTCAAATCAATAGAATATTCCGGTAAAGAATGTGAGGGCACGTCAGCTGTCATGGTGTAAATTATGATGACCTGAGATTCTGGAAAAGTCTCTACAAATGCCTCTAAAATAGATAATTTGAATATCAATATTAAGAACTTGAAAAAAGTTCTGATTTAATGATTATCTCTTTATTTGTTTCTATTTAGTTGGCTGTGGTTTCCTTCTTGACAACTACCTTTTGGACGGCATCACCAATAAATCATTTAAAGCTTCGTCATCTGATCCCCCTCTACCGCCGCTGCTAAGGGGGAAGAATTTTTGGAAACCTAAGGATGATGATAAAGTGAAAAACTTGACAGTAGATCTAGGTAAGTGTGTTGACAAGTTTTAACACTTTTCGTGTATACATCTAGCGCGCAATCACTGTTATGTATTGTTACTTCATACTGTAAAAAAAAAAGAAAAACAGACAATAATTAAAAAAGATATTTTGGTTACCATCGGCCGATTGATTAGACATAGACATCTACATACATCCGTTAAATATCATTCAGAGTGAATGTAATGTTTTCAATGTTTTGCTTTACCTTAGGTAAAGTTTATAAAGTGTCAGAAATAGCTTGGACAGGTGATCCATCCGTTTCATCTGCAACTTCGATTATGAGGCTGCATTACAGTAACGATGGAATAAACTTTAAATGTGTGATACAGTCTGGAAGAGATAAATGCCAAGTTAGTAAAATCATATCATGAGTTGAATTGATGCATTAAGATTAAGCAAAATTATATATGGTCACCTATTGACATATATTATTCTTTTTTTCAGTCCTTTTTTGCAACATATCATACGCTTCCGGTACCCGGATCGCACGAAAATATTGTCCCCCTAGGCCAAGTCATCGAAGCCAGATATCTTACTTTTCAAGCAATGGAGCCGAAACAAGGTCTTCAAAATCCTCGAGCAAACTATATGAAAATCGATGTCAAGGGTTGTGTGAAAGGTATTGTGACCTTGACAGTAATGCCACAAATGATTGCAAACAAAGTAGGGCATTACAAAATGCCTAAACAAATGTTGATGCTTGTACAATTGTGATGTTTATTTTCGCATTTTCCTAAAGTATGACGTAATAATCGACGTCATAATGTTTTTTGTAACGGCATCCACACGTGGTAAAAACTGGCCGAAAAGAATTGTCATATTTCTATGATGGGTCACTTTTCACTCAGTTTCACGATTATACAATTCAGACTGATTGATAATGATTCATGGTAGACTGAGTGTTAATTAACCTTCATCTTTCTGTTTGCTCACTGGCTGCCGTATAAGGCGTCGAAGTGGTCCTTTACTATGCTATAGATATGTTTGTAAGCCCTACTGAGTTATAGAACATACCAGTGTGTTAGATGAATTCTGAAATGAACGATAACATTGATATTGATTTGTATATTTTGTCAACTTGCAGTTATCCCAAATCTTGACATTGTGTTCTTACTAAGTGCAACCTCAGCAAGTGCTTCCTCGACTTTCGCGTTCATGAAATCCACCGTCAAGGCTTTTGTAACGTTGTACGGCAATGTACAAGTTAAATATGGCATGATTATATTTGGTAGTACCGTCACAACAACTTTCTCTCTTAACACTAAACACGCCAACAAAGATGCTTTAAAAGCTGCCATCGATGGGGCAGGAATTGTCGCTGGGGGTCCAAACTTAGTCTCGGCCATGAAAGAAGCAAAGACCATGATAGATACGCAATCACGAAACGACGCAATCCGAATAGTTGTAGTAATGATGGATAAAAACTTCAGTCAGAGCCAGGCAGATTGCTCACAAGCCGCTTCTGAACTTAGGAACATAAAAACAAACATTATCGCAATCGGAATTGGAAGTGAGATTTCTATTCAACTTCTTGATTGGATCACATTGAATAGATATTACATTGTCATGTTTAATTGGGGAGGAAATGCGAATCATCTCTGCCGTGAAATTGGTTACCGTTGTTTCAAAGGTAAAATATAAAACAGTACATACATGCATCGTAATTGATTTCCTTCTTCGTACGTTCGATTGATATTGGCAGTTGCTTTTATAGTATTTTTGACACGCAGCTTTGTGTTTAATATTATAGGTGATTTTGGCATTTGATTTTCTTTCAGAATTTGACATAACATTTGCCTTCGGAGCTGCTTCTACAAACAAAGTCACCTACTTCGCCTTAATGAAGAACGCTATGTCAGCAATTTGCTTAAAGTATGGTATAAGCACTATTCACTACAGCTTCGTCACGTATGGACTTGGCTCAGCCTCAATAGTGCATTCATTTACTCATACTATCAACACCTACTCTTCATCAGCAAACCTCAAAACAGCAATTGATGCTATATCAAACCCAACTGGTTCTGGTAGCTTTGCAGTTGAATCTTCTCTTACTCAATGCAAAAACAGTTTTCAGGACTCTAAAGTTCGAAAAAGTGCGGATAGAGTTGTTGTGCTCATGACAGATAAAGCATCTTCAGCTGACATATCTAAACTGAGATCAACCGCTGATGGAATTGGCAATGATGGAGTGAGGGTCATTGCACTGGGGATTGGAGAAAGCGTCAGCCGATCCGAATTGCTTGCAATCAGTAGTAACGAAGACGACGCCATTCAAGTAAGCAGCAGTGTCACAGTCTCGCAGCTGGAATCTACAATTATGCAAAGCGTTTACAGATGTAAGTGTTTTATACATGGCATCTCTTGTCTTTTTTAAAAGATCTTTGTTGGTGGAATTTTTCATTTTTTATACGTAGTTTGCTGAATCAACCATGAACAATTTTAAATCTCTTGTCTTTATCGTATTAATATAGATGATAGTTATTCTGTACTCAGGTCCTAAGATAAAAGTAACTTAGTTGATGTGTAACCTTAGGACTGGGTTTCTCTTAATAGGCCATTTCACGGATGAAACAGCCGTTCGAAATCGAGACTTAACTGAAACATCAACACCACTAGTGAAAAGAACTTAAATAAATTGACTCAGTTTTAGAATAATCCCTTGCAAACTCTAAACGCAACAAAATTTACAAAGAAATATTGTATTCACTAAGCTTCAGCATGCATTTCTCTGTAAAAGTTTGCCGTGAATTTGAAAACATTATCCTATAGAGGTTTTGACTGATTATTCAAAAACTTGATAAATTTACTGATTTTAGACCTTTATTTTCAGTAGTGGTCATTACTTTTCAAATACTATTCAATTTCCGATGGAGAAATCATCAGCGTGAAATTGTTTATTGCCGGCCTTGCTATTTTTGAAAAATTCCAACTAAAAAAAAATATTTAGAAAAATTACACCTAAACAGCGCTGAAGTTTGTAGGTGGCATCATTATATCAAAATGTTATTTTTTTTCAGTGAACATGATCAACTATGACATAACATTTACCATAAATGCTGCCTCGTTTCAATCAAGCCATTATTACCAATACATGCAGAGCACTATCCGATCAATAATACAAAAGTACGGGTATGGACGATGTCGTTATACGTTCATCGTTTATGGACAAACAGCTATAAAATATTACACCTTCGATCACGTGTTTCCCAGCTTGGAAATGTTGCTGCGTGCCTTTGCCAGAATACCCATTGTCACTGGCGGAGCAAATATATACAACGCATTAGTGGAAGCGACAAACAATTTTAAAGCACAATCGAGGAAAGATGCGTGGAAAATACTTGTTGTCATGAGTGACATTAAATTAACCTCAGTGCCTCAGGCACTCATTCGCAGGATATTTCAATCTTTGGAAGATATTGGTGTAATTGTAATGCCAGTAGGAATGGGTCGTTCAATGAATCCTTTGGAATTTTACTACATGACCTCATACAGCGACACAGTACTATTTGCTGCTGACTACACATTTACGTCTTACTTAAGGACTGGAGAATCAATTATGACCACTATGATAAATTGTAAGTATTTTAGGTGATATGGAAAGATTTTATGCAATAATATTGATTATGATTGTCTTCCACTTGGTGAGAAAGACCAGATTGTTTGTAAGATGATTTAGTGATATATTTTGATTGAAAAGTAGCGCATACTTTGTCCGACATATATTTTTGTGGCAATTGCAAAGGGAAGTGCAGTTTTTCTTTCTTGTAACCTTATATTATGCACATGATTAAGTACCACCTTTGTTTTACTTCACAGTTGCTTTCATAGACATCACGTTCGTTTTGAATGCTAATTCTACCAATTCGTCTGCAACGTTTACTCTAATGAAGGACTGTATGATTAAGATGATCAATAAATTTGGTGCTTACAGAATTCACTACTCTGTAATCATATTTGGTACAACCGCCACTACGTACTTAGACTTTGATACTACGTTTCCTTATCGTGAAGCGCTGATTGCTCGTATAACAGGTCTAGGGTTAGTAGGTATACAGGCTGGTTCATCGGGTGTAATCGATGCTCTTGGCAAAGCCAACGCTATCTACAGCTTGTCATCCGTGAGATCGATATCAGTCAGGGGTTTAGCAGTGATACTTGACAGACCGACAGGTAAAACAATTGCGGAGTTGCGAAATGCTGTCAAACCTATACACCAAAAGGGCGTCATCATAACCTCGTCAGGAATTGATGGGCAAGTTCGTTATGATGAGCTTCGAGCCTTAACTCTCAGTAGACACGACGTCATTAGAGTAACAGCATCTTATTCGTCGTCGCAGTTGGCAGACTTTTCTGTCAAAACCATTAGGAAAGGTAAGATTTCATAAATTGTTTAGATGCATCTGTATTAACTATTTCTAAATGGCGTTTATTTTACATCTAGATTCAGTTGACCTGGTTGATATGGTTTTCGCTATTTCTCTGTCTGGAGATAATGATGAAACCACGACCTTGATAAAGGACGTTATATATCAGATCATCTACCGCTATGGTCTATTTAGATTTCACTACAGTCTCATCATCTTTGGAAACGCACGTTCTGTGGTATTTGATTTTGGAAGTAGCGTACCTGACAGAGAAACAATCTTTAACACAATAAAGAATCTGAAACGCATTGACTCTAGCTCTTCAACCAACGTCAAAGATGTTTATGTTAAGGCAAAATCAATATTTCAGAACAAGCCAACACGAGATTCATCCAGGAAGTGTTTCACGTTTATCACGGATAAACGAACTTCCTCCTCGGCATCGGATATATTGACAGCGAAAAGAAGTCTTGAAGACATCGGTGTTACTACTATTGCTGCTGGAGTTGGAGATCAGCTGTTACTGGATGATTTAAAATCACTCACTACTTTCAGGCATAATGCTATATTTGGGATTGGGAATTCATACGAAATTGCTCATAGTATCGTTAGAAAAATTGAAAGAGGTAAGACTCGATGAAGCACCGTCTCTCAACTTATTTTGCTGCACTTTTTGAGATACAATGGAGAAATCTTTTTTTGCTCGTATCCTCAATGAATTATGATATTTTCAACTTTAGGTGACTATGTAAACGAATTAACAAATAGCATTTGCAGTTCTGAACAGTCTTTCTTTTTCAGAGTAGATTCACACTTTCTTTTGATGGAATTTATGTCTGGATACACCAACAAACAAATAACCCATATCTCATTTGTTTACAGTGCCAGAAATGGACTTGGTGTTTATAACTACCTTTAGTACCACATCAACCAGCAAAATCAAGTCACTAATGCCAGGAGTCATTAATTCAATATCAGAGAAATATGGCCGTCCTGATAAAATCCGCATTAGCGTTGTAGGCGCTGGTTCCAGGGCAAAAATTGAGATTAATTACAATAATGTGTCTTTACCAGACAAGGAGTCATTTCGCAGAGAAGTTAACAAAATGACTCCAGTTGAAGGTGCTGCTGATGTAAAAAAAGCCTTGATTGCTGCGGAAGAAATATTCAATGCTTCGTCAGCCCGTCCTAACGCTAGAAGGTTTGCCTTGTTATTGACGGACCAATCTTTTAATGTTTCTTCCTTAAGTGAATTGGAAAATGCAGTAAAACCTTTGGAAAACATCAGAGTAATTCCAATTACTATTGCCTTTGGCGACCAACCAGATAAAAGGCAACTCAAGACAATAACACGGTCTGATAGAGCCAACATATTTGTGACAGATTTAATGTCTCCAACAGAAATTGGTGACGAAGCCATGAAGCTCATTATGAATGGTAACATAACTTTTTTTTAACTCATCATTCAGTTTGACAACATATCGTCGTGCAGTCATTTCTAGAAAATCTAGAAGGTTTAGAAAATTCGTCTATTTGAGTGTTTGGAACTGTGAATTAAATTGGAAGTCGTCTGCTCGTGTGTATTAGAAATAGTGGAAAGGTGGTTGCAAAAGAGATTCACCCAGGCGAAAAACCCTTTGAAAGAAATTCGGAAAAATACAGTAATTTCCGACCTCGCTAACCCTAATATCTTTTTCACTCCGAGCTGATCCCATCGGTTTATACAGATCTGAATTTCGTGGGTTCGAGTCCTAGCCAGCTAGGAAATTACTTTTTCAGAATCTCTTTCCAAGGGTCTTTTTCCTGGATTAACCACTTTATCAAGCATATAACTCTCCATTTTGTCTAGTTTTTTTTCCTAGTATTTTTCACTGCCACGCGTAGTCCAGTCCTGGCCTCTCGTTTCCGACGCTCGCGGAATCGCTGGGGAAAGAGAGTCCAGTATAACTTGCATGCGCATGTCAGCTTAGCGACCTCGTGATTACCACACCGATGTGGTAATCACGAGGTTACCTAGTCCTATACAATTACCAAGATGGCGGAGAGCGCGGTGGAAGGTAGTTTCCAMTTGAAATACAAAGATAATTTTAGACCGGCTTTTCTAAATGCCGTTAGTTAGGCCATTATTTTTCGAATTTTTGACAATATAGCGTGCACGTGAAGTAAACAAACCACTGACCATTATAAATTGCGGGCTCTCAAAATTCAACTTTATTCTGATTGGCTKKTCCTGCACATGCGCATGCAAGTTATACTGGACTCTCTTTCCCCAGCGATTCCGCGAGCGTCGGAAACGAGAGGCCAGGACTGGACTAGTTCCACGTGTGCATCGTCCATTTGGAAGACCTCAAAAGAATCGATCGAAATTGTTTTTCATTTATGATGGATATGTCATGCTTACTCTTGGTGAACCACCAATAAGTATGTTGTTGTTCTATATTTTTTAGATGATATTCCACAGCAAACTATTACCATTGCCATGTCACCATCGACCAAAGAAAATCTTGCTTATGCCAAAGAAGTATTAAAGAATTTAGTCAACGCACTTGGATTTGACGATGTCGTCAAGCTCAATGTCATATCATATGGTTCTAATGTCTCGAGTACAATAAAATCTGATTCACCTGACTATCCCGACCTAGAAGCGCTCCTAAAGGCAGTTGATAAGATAGAAATGCCCTCTGGTAACGCATCACTCGCTCCAGCTCTTGAGGAAGCAGCGAAACTTGCAAAGGAGCAGGAAACGCCTGAAAATACCAAGAATACTGTTGTGGTAATGTCTGATAAACCAGCAACTGAAACCCCGGAGGAAGTTGTGAAACAGGTTAAGACTGCTAAGGAATCAGGCATCACTCTCAAATCTGCTCCATTAAGCGCTGAGGCTGCCAAAGATAACGAACGTTTAACTGGTGAAGAGGAAGCTAGTTTTAACATAAACCCATCCAGTAGCAACCCTAAAAGTTCTGCTGAAGAAATTCTGGCAGAACTTGGTATGTATATTTAAATCACTCATGTGCGAATAATTATGAATTTTAAAAGAATTGTACATGTTGATGTTTAATTTCACAAGCTGGTTTTGTATGGTCATCAGAGATGGCCACACGTCAGGCTAGTTAAAATGAATGATGACCGTTAAAGTTTGCTGGTAGTTTAAAAACGCTATTTAGTTTACATCCGGTAGAGTTATATTAGATGGTTTCTTAGTGTGAATCTATTTCTGTGTTGACATGGGCTGGCTAATTCACTTCGTCTATTTAAGGAACATAAGTGCTTTTTACGAATAATGATAAATTTCTCTCTCAGACTTATTAAAATGTAATAGATTACATTTTTTGGTTATGTTGTTGTGTAGGGTTGGCATTTTTGAACTATTTTCCATTTAATGTTATACTCTTTCTTTTCTTCTTTTAATTTTCAGATGTACTTTGACAGTTCTGTTTCGTTTCTTCGTTTTGACAGTTTAAGTGAACATTTGTGGTTTCTGTATCATCGTTCTTTGAAGTTTGTGGCTAGACCTATGTATGCATTTTTCTTTTGCAGTTTCTGTTGTTACTGTCGCTTCGTATATCACATTCGTCTGCAGACATTTTCCTTCTAAGGGGCATTCGTTCTTGTCTGACGAGTGTAGCCATCTCTGATGACCATACGAAACCAGCTTGTAGCAATAAAACAATGAATCATTCTAGTCTTTAAGTACAATTTTATTTTATACAATGCTCTTTGACAAAGTTGAGCACTTTTTTGAAAACATTTTCGATAATTTTAAGATGTTAAATTTTATTAATTTTATTATTTTTCAGCTGCCGAGGACCTGGATCTAACAGGAAGTACGTTATTTTTCACGACTTTAGATACAACTGATTTGTCAGAGTAGATATCTGTTTAGGAACTACTTAACCGTCTTTACAAAACCTTTTTGACTCAACGAAGTTAATTGAAGGAAATCCATGGTATTATGGCAATTGACCTTTTAAGATATGTGATGATTCATCAATCCATCCAGCAGTTAAACAATTTATAATCTTATAATAATTTTTTCCCTTACAGTTGGTTGTGGTTCGCTACTTGATAGTTACCTGTTAAGGATTACCAATGCTTCGTTTAGCGCATCATCAGGAAAGTCTGGTCTTCCATTACTCAGTGAACAGCCTTGGAAACCCTCTATTCTCAATTCTTTACAGAATCTTACAGTAAACGCGGGTATAAATATTCACTGCTTTTAGACATACTTTTGATTCATGTAAGATTTTAAAAACTTACCAATTTCTAAATATATTAGGTCGAATGGTTCGTGTTTCTAGAATCAGTTGGGGTGGTACACCTAACGCGGCAACGTCGCCATCTCAAATACAGATTCACTATAGCACAGATGGGATTACATTTACCTGCGTGCTTGATGGGAATAGATGTGAGGTGAATATACCAGAAATATTGATATTGCCTTTGTATTCATAAGATATCCCCAATAAGCCAAAAGTGTTCCCCGTCTATAAACCTCTGTATGACAAGATTTATGATTTTTAGAACTTCTTGAGTAAAAGTCCACCTCCGGTTAGTGGTTCCACCATCACTAATGTAAAGCTTAGGACTGTTATCGAAGCTCAGTACTTCACATTCAGACCAGTTGAACCAGATCCATCAAAGAATGGAGCTGATGCTTCGGCTCTTCGCATCGAACTTCACGGATGCCTTATTAGTAAGTACTGACTTCATGAACATTTTATAACACTGCATTAAGGTACGAAAAGTTGTAGATTGATCAAAATTGATATTCTTTGACGTTTTCCGGCATACTTATAAGTACTCTCTTGTAATATCAAGAAATTTTAGGAAAAAAATTATTTATCATCATATATAAAACGGATTGGTACACGATCCAAATTACTGCATAGCTACAGTTTTATGGTATGCCCATTTGCAATTTTTTGAATTTGTTAATCTTGAATTCATGTGGTTATTTCAGCTGCTCCACCGATGGATATTTTATTTGCAATGAGTGCAACATCTTCCAGTGGAGACGCTGTTTTTGCAAATATGAAAAACACAGCTAAGGACATCGTCAATACACATGGAATATCCATAAACAAGTATTCTACAATTGTGTTCGGTGCTTCAGCTAACACACTATTTGACTTTTCTAAAAAGTTTCTCAACAAAGAAACCGTTAATGCTGATATTGATAAAGCAACTCGTGAAAAATCTCGACCACCATCCTTATCCAATGCCTTGAGTACCGCCAAAACTATATTTGACACAAAAGGACGACCGAACACCAAACGTGTTTTAATAGTCATGATAGAAGAAAGCTCAACTCAAACGAAAAATCTTCTCACTAGCATGACTAGTCAGTTGCGATCAAGTAACGTTATGGTTATTGCCATAAGTTTTGGAAGTAATGTCCCTTTACAAGAACTACAGTGGATAACATTGAATAGATATTTTATAATGATGGTGTCTCCTACGGAATCGCAACGACATGTCGCACTTGGAATTATGTCAAGAGCCCTCAAACGTAAGTAATGTAAAGCAATCAACATATTACCAGTAGAGTTATACCAGAGAGTTTGTAAAGAACGATCACAGTTATTACAATGCACAATGTCACCTCCGGCTCAGTTTGGACGTTTTTCAATTCTCTAAGAGATCTATGTGTTTTTTCGCGGTTGACTTAGTAGGTAGATCGACTGATGCTCATGATAAAATATGGAAACCGCGCTTTTTCCCAAGAAATTCACCATTTATCAGGACATATCTAATGACGTTATGGAAACGAGAGCAAATGATAAGGGCTAGGGCTAAAAACCCAATGTTGAAGTAAATTCAATAGTTAAAATTGTAACATTTTCATTTGCTTTGCAGAAATTGACTTGACTTTTGCAATTGGTTCCATTTCTACAAACAGAGATAGCATTTTTACACTTATGAAAGACACTATACGATCTGTTATCGATACGTATGGCACTACATTTATCCGATACAGTGTTGTCGTGTATGGACCAGATCCAGTCAGTAACACCGCCATAAGAATCTCATACACAGACTTTATGAAGTATTCTACTTCATCAGACTTTAGCAACGATGTGGCCAAGCTTACACCAGCCACAGGCTCTGGAAATCTACGACTCGACGAAGCTCTCAAGAAGTCTGAGGAGTCTTTCAAAGACCGAAACCACAGACCCTATGCTGATAAAATCGTTTTACTTATGTTCGATAAAGATTCCACTGCTTCTAATTTGAAATCTATTTCTAATTCTCTTGAAGATAATGGAATTATCGTCATTCCAGTGGGAATAGGAAAAGAAGTAAGCACAAAACAGCTATCTGTTTTAACAACAAACATAGACGATGCTATCCATGTAGAGCATAGCATTACGAAAACACTCCTACAAGAACAAATTATGAATAAAGTTTACAAAGGTAAATACACTAATCAAAAAATATATACAAAAATTATTTAAGGTGATTATTATTTCTTCACTATTAATAATGATTTGTTTATTTAACACAATGGATGTTTTTCTGCAGTTAATCTTCAAGATGTGGACCTTACGTTTGTCATAACGGCGGCGTCAAGTCGTGCTAACGACATTTTTAGTCATATGCAAAATATCATGCAGACCATTGTACATCGATACGGCCAAGGACGAATCTACTACAGCGTTATTGTCATCAATGGTACCAATCCCTATACCTTCTACAAATTTGGAACTGTTTTTCCAAACAAAGAGGTCCTGATAAATGCATTGTCCAAAATAAAGCAGAGTGCAGTTAGTGGATTAGCACTGGATAGAGCTCTTCAGCTGGCTAAAACTAACTATAATGAGTCTGCAAATGTACGTACCTTTGCTTTAAAGTTTGTTGTTGTCATAATGGATAAAAAGACTGGCATTGCGGAAGGGATTCTGCGTAGCTCGTTTACCTCTTTACAGGAAGCTGGAGTCCGTGTGGTTTCAGCAGGCATTGATAAAGAAGTTAATTTATTAGAACTCAAACAAATCACTGCGTATAAAGATCAAGTGTTTTTGTTGTCAACTGACCAGCCATATGTTAGAAATGCAGAGGAAATAATGAACCCAATCGTTCGAAGTAAGTACCTAACCACAAATATTTGTCACCGAACACTACTATAATAAGCATATTAATTAACTTTAATATTGTTTGCTCGCTAGTTCCCGATGTAGACGTTGTATTTGTTCTTAACGCCGATTCAGCAAAGTCAGGAAAGACCTTCCAACTCATGCAAGACTCTGTTAAGAAGATCGGTGCTAAATATGGACAGAGGAGTTTCCATTATGCAATAATTGTTTATGGAACAACTGTCACAAAGGCATTTGATTTTGCAGACAATATTCCTTATCGAGCTGCTTTTGACAGTGAAATAGATAAGATCAATAAACTTGCTGGTGTTTCTAAGTTGCCAGATGCTTTAGACGAAGTTAAACTTGTCTTTAGAAGTCCAAGTTCTCGCCGTAATGCAAAGAAGGTAGTTATTATCATTCAGGACAAGAAAACAGGAGAAGCTCAAAGCAAGCTGTTAGACATTGTTCAGCCTCTGTTTGACGAAGGAATTGTTGTACTTGGTGTTGGAATTGGGAATGAAATATCTTTGAGTGATGTCCAGCTTTTAACCATTCGAAGAGAAGATGGTATCTCAGTTCCTGATGACGAGAGGAGTGGCTTACTAGCAGACAAAATGGCAGCTAGACTCGTTAGAGGTACATCTTGAACAGTTATAACGCTATCACAAAACTAAAGACATGCATTTCACTTCGTAGGTTATTGTAACATGTTTTTTGTTTTGTTTTACTTAAGATGGGTTTCCTGTACTAAACCTGATGTTTGCTATCAGTCTTACAAATGCTGATCCGAACAGAAATGCTGATTTAATGAAGAACATTTCCAGAGCAGTGATACGAAGGTTTAGTGCTAGACGCATTCATTTTGCCCTCGTACCRTTTGGAAATACGATTGTTGATAAAATGGATTTCAATAGCATTGCTCCAGACATGTCATCATTGGTAGATATGGTAAACAACTTAAAACAAGTGGATAATAGTCAAAATCCAAACGCACAGGCAGTAATGGATAGAGCAAGCCAATTGTTTCAAGAAGGACCAGAACGAATACAAAGTCGAAACGTCCTTATTATGTTTATGGACAAGACACCATCCTCAAGTGAACAACTCCTTGAAACGTCCAAGCGCCGTTTACAAAATCTTCAAGTGACCGTCGTCCCAGTAGCTGTTGGACCACAAATTGATATAAACCGCCTTTACAATGCCACGGTATTTCGTGATCATGTTACTCACATAAAAAGCAGTGATTCTCCTGCAAAAGCAGCGGAAGATATTCTTTACAAACTACCAGGTAAGAATGACCACTTTTCCAATTTAATATGTAAAAATAATCAATAATCCCATTGTGATATCAAGTTGATCATCAACCGAGATCCATTTAACCGTTGCTGAATATTATCGGAATAGGCATGTACTATGCTGGACACATCATCATTAATTTACGATTAACCATTATAATAAAAGTATTTTCCTTTATAGTTCCCCTGATCTACATAATGTTTGTCATGACTACCGATAACACTGTAACCGGTGCAACATTTAAGCTCATGAAAGATATTCCACAAGCTCTCGTAGACAAGTATGGTTCAAGAAACATCATTGTCTCATATATTTCTTATGGCACACCGGCCATGGTAGTCTTTAATTATAATACAACAATCCCTGATAAGGAAACTCTCGCCAAAGAACTGGCTAAAGTACCCAAAGTTGGCAGCGCTCCAGATGTTGAAAGCGCATTGATAAAAAGTCGAGAAGAATTTCAGTCATCCTCAGTCGATCCAGAAGCCAAGAAAGTATTGGTTTTGGGCACACACCGAATGTTTAGTGGCTTCGACAATCAGAATATCAAAGATGCTGTAAAACGAATTGACGAAGAGGGAATTCGCACAATTGCCGTTGGATTTAGTGATGAGCCTGTGCAAGAACAACTCGGAAATATTACGAAGACTGGAAGAGCAATTATAAGACCATTGAAAAGCGATCAGGGCACGCAAATTGCTGATAACATCCTTAAAATAGCTTTGAATGGTAAGGTCACATCTGTGATTCTTAGTGCAGTTTTCGATAATACATTTATGTTAATGAATTATTTTCTATATTTTTTACATTCAATAGATGGAATTCCAGAGATATTTGTCACTTTTATGCTCAGCGCTACTGGACCAAACGCTACCAAAGCATTTCAGCAGATGAAAGATTACATGAAGGCAATAATTCATCGCTATGAACCCAAAAGATTCAAGTACAATTCCATAGTATTCGGACAAAGCGCTAAAACAGAAATCAAATATGATCCAAATCGGTCTACGAAAGATTTGATAGCATTAGTAAATGGTCTATCTCCAGTTAAAGGACCAATCTCGTTGGTTAATGCTTTTAACCACACAAATCAATACATTTCTTCAGAACCAGGTTTACTGTCTGGAAGTGCTGCAGTTGTTGTAATATGGGACAAAAATTCGACAGAGAATACTGCAGACATTACATATGCAGCCAAGGTTTTGAGCAACGAGACTGTTCGAATAATTCTTGCCCCGATGAATATTGATCCAGCAAGTGCTGCTCCAGCGAACCCAAATGAAGAGCAAGTTGTACCAAATAGTGTGAACTCTGATCCAGGAATGGTTTCAGAAGAAATCGTTGATCGATTACTTTCAGGTGACTCAAAAAAGCGTCTGTAATAGAAAGCATGCTACATTTTCWAACATCTTTTTTTTCCAGTTCCTTGTGATGTCAACCCATGCAATAATGGCGGCATATGTAAACTTAATGCCTGTACTTGTAAGAAAGGGTTTTCTGGGAAATTCTGTGAAAAAGTGGACTTTTATGAAGGTATTTAACCTTGGATCCCCACTGTATATTTTTTATTGCTGTCGCAGCGTAGAGCGACTCTATACGCACGGAGCAAGGCAGCAATTCCTAGTCAAGAGTAGCCCATTACACATCATTTATGCTCTTATAAATTGACACATCTATGGCTAGTTCCCAGTTCAGAGGGAATTCAACTCGTTTTTGTGCGTTTTAACGACAAGATTTGTTTAATTTATATTATTTTTATATTTTTAGTTGGTTGTGGGCCATTGCTTGACAGCTCTCTACTTGATGTCAAAGCCTCATCATTTTCTGCCACTACAGGAGATCCAGGAATTCCTTTACTTTCTAGAATTGCCTGGAAACCAGGAACAAAAAATATACAGCAATACCTAACTGTTGATCTTGGTGAGAATAAAGAAATGGTTTTCTGTTGTTTTTGTTTGTGCTATGTCAAAAAAAGTGATGACTGTTTTGAAAGCAAAAAAAAAGGTTTTACGGATTAATACCTAATATGTTATAATGTTATGTAGGTGAACGCGTACAAGTCACAAGAGTTGGATATGGTGGCGACAAAGTGCAACCAAATGCTCCTACTCAATTGCATTTGCACTTTAGCATCGATCAATCTAATTTCACGTGCTTTACAGACAATAATGTTTGTAGGGTAAGAATAGTGTGTAGCCTGAGTCAAAACAATAATTATATCCTTTTAATAACCCTATGTGCCGTGTGTTTTTTAAGAAATACGTTACTACAAAGAAAGCTCCTGTGCCTGGAACACATGAAAGTTTCCATGAAGTGAACAACGGGTTACCTGTCGACGTTCGGTGGATTCGATATGATCCACAGAAGCCTGATCCTAAAACAAAACCAGGAGGATCTTCCCTTCGTGTTGAAGCCTATGGCTGCATTGAGGGTAAGAAAATCCGCTCACATGTTGAAAGCTTAAAACATTCTAAAGATCTTGATATTTGTTGTTCATTTAAAAAGATGTCAAGAATACCGACTTTGACTCCTCCTTTGACACACAGAAAACACAAGATTCGGTTAAGGAAAACTAGTTTCGTCTTTACTAAGAACTTCTCAATTCCTTCACAACTGTTTTGTTCTAAAGATGTTTGAATACAATTCTATTTGTATTTTCATTATTCACAGCTTATCCTGATATGGACGTGTTGTTGGCTGTGAGTGCTACATCATCGAATGCAAGCGTTACGTTTCCTCTCATAAAAAATGCAACGAAGGACATTGTCAATAATTATGGAACTCGTCGTATTCGTTATGCTATGCTGGTGTTTGGTGCTACCACTAATAAACTATTTACCTTTGATGACAACTTAAGTAAAGACCAGATTCTGTCAAGGATTGATAGTGCTTCTCCAGAGAATGGTCCTGTGAATTTAGTTACTGGCTTAACTACCGCCAGGTCAATGCTTAATAGTGCTACACCGAGGCGTCCTAAAGCCAAAAAAGTCCTAGTTGTCATGAATGACAAAAGTACATTGGAACAAAAGAACGTGGTTGCAACTCCCGTCTCACAGTTAACTGATAGCGACGTTCAAGTAGTCAGTGTTGGTTTAGGTACAGAAATCGGAAGAGAACAACTTGAATGGCTAATTCTTAACAGCTTTTATGTTATTCATGTGCCACATACCGAGCAAGCTCGTCATTTGGGTTCGAGTATAATGACGCGAGCAATTAAAGGTAGGACGTAAATCCTTATGACTCTTGTGCATGATTGGTTTCCAAACACGTATACAATAATCAACAAAAAGAACAAAACCGAATAAAAGATATATGGCGATTTCAAAACAAAAGCAATTAGAAAAAAATATAGCATGCACACTGATTTTCATGAGTTATTGGTATTTTTCCTCTACAGCTTTTGACATAACGTTTGTTGTCAGTGCAACATCTTCCAAGGCAGATGACTATTATAAGTTGATTCAAGATACATTAAAGGCAATCGTCACTAAATATGGCTATACAGCAATCCAATACAGTGTCATTGTTTATGGTTCCAAGTCTTCGAGTCCTTCGTGGAGTGTCGTGTATACCTACACTCAGTCTTCGGTATTTCCTGATAAAACTACTTTTGCTAATAAGCTAGGCCAACTTAAGAAAATCGATAATGGAGGTTCTCCGTACGCCCTAGATGATGCATTACGTAATGCTGAAGAGGGTTTCAAGGATCCTAAAGTTCGTCCATTTGCCGATCATATAGTAGTCGTCATTACCGATAATGATTCTTCCCTGACAAACCTTAAACCCCGAATCGATTCAATGGAAAAAAAAGGCATCAGAATGATTGTCGTTGGAATTCAAAACCCTAACCCAAAGGAACTACGAGGTCTTACTTCGAACGATCAAGACGTTATAATAGTTTATGACGGCGTCACTAAGGAAACACTACAAGAAAGATTAATGCACAAGGTCTTTCGAAGTAAGTAGCATGTAGCATCCTCCACATGGGGCTCACTGGGCTTCATGTCGCCGCAATACAGTGATCATGACTGCTAGTATTCCTTTGCCACCCATTTAACTCCACTCAATTTGAAACTCCTGACAAAGAAAAGTAGAAAACATTGACAAAAATAGCCCAGGGTTTTCAAGCTGTTTATCTATATTTCTTTGTTTGCAGCTGATATGGAAGACATCGACTTAACGTTCATCTTTAACGCCGCTTCTGCTGATTCTGACTCTACCTACGAGTACATGCAAAATATTATCAAATTAATAATTCAAAGATACAGCTATGGTAGGATATTCTACAGTTTCATATTCTATGGTAGTGTTCCTACTACCAAGTATAATTTTGGACAAACTTTTCCAAATAAACAAGTGCTTATCAGGACAGTTTCCAAACTTCCCAAGAATGGAGAAGGCACTGCTCTTGATAAAACTCTCCAAGAAACAAAGCGAATTTACGAGTCGAATAACGCTCGGTCCAACTCGTTGAAAATAGCTGTTCTATTGTTTGATAAGAGGTCTGGTGTTGCTGAGAACGTTGTCAAGAATGCTGCATCATCTTTGCACGAGATAGGAGTCCGCTTGATACCAGTGGGCATTGGAAAGTCTGTCAGTTTAACAGAAATGGAAACAATCACAGCGTTTGAAGACAACATCTTGACAGTGTCAAGTGATGAAAATCCAGTGGAAATAGGCGAAGAAATTATGAGACGTTTCCTTGGAAGTAAGTATACTTCAAATTCAGAAAGCCTTGACAAAAGTGATCTTTCATAAATAACTTTTTTTTCGTACTCTTTAGTTCCGCTTGTTGATATAGTGTTTGTCATCAATGCCGATTCGACAAATAAAACTGCCGTCTTCAAGAAAATTCAAGATTCCATCAAGCAGATTGGTGACAAGTTTGACGTAGATAGATTCCATTACAGTGTAATTGTTTATGGATCTACATTAAAGAAAGAATTTGCTTTTGACGATCCAACGCCTTTCAAAGAGGTATTACGAGAGAGAGTCGATGCTGCCCAAATGATAAGTGGCTCAAACGATTTGCCCAATGCTCTTAAAGAAGCCGAAAAAATACTGACTGAAAATAGTAAACGTCGACAAACCTCTCTCAATGCTATCGTGGTTATCTCTGACAAATCATCAGGTCAAACAGTTCCAACTTTAAACAATTCATCTAAACCTATTCACGATCAAGGCATAATGGTAGTGGCAGCATCTATTGGTGGCAATCCCCCAAGAAATGAATTGCTCGCAATTACAACTAGAAGTGATGATGTTATCGAGGTTACTAATAGTGACACAAGTGGTTACCTAGGTGATAGAATAATTGAAAGAATTTTGAAAGGTACAATTAAGTTTAGTAACTATAACACCAATCGCACAATTCTGAAACCAAATTTGCTAATTTCGGCAAATTTTAAAACAAGGTTTGGAAAATTCCTTGTCTATGCGATTATCTTATCAACAAATATCTATGCTTATGCTTGAGCTTATTTCACCGATAAAAGCCGCACTTATGAATGCACACACTTATCGTTGCCCCATGCAATATAATAACGGGTATTATACTAACTAAAATCACAACTTTTAATTATAACTTTTTTCTGTAGATGGTGTTCCTGAAATAGATATTACGTTTGCTGTCACCAAGTCTGCCGCAAGGCCAAACACAGCTAATCTCATGCCAGCTATTGTTAAATCAATTGTTCATCGTTATGGCAACAAAAGAGTACGGACAAGTATTATAGTATTTGGAGACAAGCCTATAAGAGTATTTGACTTTGGATACGACTTTCCAAATGAAAAGGTCCTTCTGGACAGAATAGATAAACTTCCCAATGAAGAAACAACAAATCCAGATGTTCAAAAATCTCTCGAGGAGACAAAGAAATTATTTGAGGATGCCCCTACTAGAAAGAATGCACGGCAAGTTCTTGTCACTATCATGGATCGTTCTTCAAACGTGCCTGAAGAAAAGATAAAGAAATCAGTTCGAGACCTCCAAAATATAGGAGTCATGCAGATAGTTGTTGTTATTGGCTCAGAGATACCGAAGCAACAAACAGATTCTCTGACTATATTTAGAAATAACGTGATCAAAACAACCGCTGACACACCAGCATGGAATACGGGTGAAGAAATTATTACAAGGATTATCGGATGTGAGTATAATCGCACACGATAACGAGATGATACCTATACGTAACTTTGCATAATGTATTTCTTTAATTTTTCAGTCCCTGAGTTGTATATCGTATTTGCTGTAACTACTGATGCTGCTATAACCGACAAGACATATAAAATAATGACCGATACAGTGAAGAACATGGGAAAGAAATACGGCATTCGGAAAAATCGGTTTAGCATTATCACATTTGGAAATCCACCGAAAACTCTATTAGACTTCGAAACGACGCTCTCAAACCAAGACGCCCTTGTCAAAGAAGTAAATAAAGTTCCAAAAACAACAAACACCATCAACTTTGCTTCGACCATGAAGGAAGTAGAGAAAGTCTTCGATAAAACTAAAGTGAAACCAAAATCAAAAAAGGTTTTAGTAGTACTGGCAGAGAAAAAGTTTGGTATTGATACAAAAGGCTTCTACGATGCCATGAAGCCTCTGGAAGAAAAAGGTATCACTACGATAGCTGCTGGTGTCGGTAACAACGTTAATGAAGAAGAACTTGAAGAAATTGCCAAAACAGAGAGGAAAGTAGTCACACCAAAAGCTGACGACAGTGGATGGCAGGTTTCTGATGAAATCGTGAAAAAAATCATCGGAGGTAAATGAAATGTCTAGATTTAAGATGATTCATTCTTACGTTAGGCAATGATGTTTGGTAATTCCTGAATTTTGTTTGAAATCTTATTCTGAAGTGCTGTTGCATGACACTTATTCAACTTCTTATATTTCTATAAAAAGCATAGCTTGGTATTCATATGAAATTGAGTATCAATGCCTATGTGCTTATTTAGCACATATTGAGAGGAATCAGTAAAATATTTGTCAAACCAATACTGACAATTCATTTAAATACGAGCTAGAGATAATACTATTATAGCTGGGGTTAGATTGATAAGTATAGTTTAAAACACGACCTCGAGTGTTTTAAACGGCTTCAAAAACTCCAACACTAATTTGGAACTCAAATACTATAAAATTCTTGGAGAAATTGCCGTACAAATATGTTCTGAGATAAATAGAGCAAACTGATCATGCGCGAATCACTTTACAAAGCACTCTTGTCATCCCACATTGAATACGCATAAAGTAGAATAGAACGGCTCTTGGCTGTTCGCTGCAATCGGTTGACATCCTGCATTGGTCAATGATCAGGTTTCAAACCTGAGACCTTTRCTAGGGTCATGGACCTTTATATCTGATAAAGGTCACCCTTATTAGTATTCTTTATATAAAGAATACTAATAAGGAGTGTTTTATCAGATATAAAGGTCCATGCATGTGACCAAATAGGCTCATTCTATTGGCCTAATGACTCATTAATTATGTATGAGTTTTTGAACAGAATTTATGCAACTGATTACTTGCTTAGATTCCGAAGTGCACACTAACAAAATGTATCGACAGAATTTAAGCAAATGATAGCTTAAATTACAACCTCAAACATATGATCTGAGGGCTAGGGTTGGGTTATTGTATATTTGCTATCTAATTATTGCAGCTACATACAATATTATACCTTCTGTTAATTACTGCATTTACCTTTTAGTAATTACCTTTTTAACGTAATTTCATAGTAATTTTAATATCATTCTGACAATGACTTCGATCAAAAACTTTCATTAAAAAATACCTTTTTGCCGTTTCTATCAAGGTCACCTTTATGTTTTTGACTCGTTTGTTTGGTTAAGATACTTTAATTTATGTAATCTATCAATTTTTAACATTTATTTAATTCTAGATGGATATCCAAAATATGACGTCGTAATTACAATTAGCCTGTCATCTCCAAATTCGTCCGAGGTATTCGACTATATCAAAAACGTTTTAAAATCCATGGCAAGACAGTATCCAGGGGAGACGATTCACACTGGTGTTGTTGTCTTTGGACCAAATACTGAAGTAGATAGCACAATAAAATTATCTGCAGACACGCCAAGTGAAGAAGAAATAGAAAAAGCAATTAATAATCTTAAACCAGCAGGAAAGAGTCCTATGAACTTTACCAAAGTAGCTGATACGGTCAGTAAGATTATGAGCAGCCCTGGTGCTCGCAAAGATGCGGAGAAAATTGCCATTGTGACTTATGATAATCCTCCAGAACAACCTGAAGAAGAAATCAACGCAGCTGAAAAGAAATTGGAAGAAGAAAAGATTTTATTGATCACTGTGCCTTTTGTACCTAAGAATGCCTCAGATCCAAATAGTGATCCTAAGTCTAAAAAGAACTGTATAACGAGTAATGTTAACCATTGTGTCACTCCTGGATCGACAAAAGCTTCTACCCCGAAACCGCCTGGCGAAGAACCAACAGCAGAAGAAACGCTACGGAGTCCAGAAAAAGAATCTGAGAAATTAGTTGACGTTTTTACAAAAGGTATTTACTATAATGTTAATTTCATACGAATTATATACAATAAATATATCCAACATCTGTTATAGCAACATGCGGCCATAACCCATGTAAGAATGGCGGGACGTGTGTCAGCAATCTCGGTTACAAGTGTAACTGTAAACCTGGATTCTTTGGTAAAAACTGTGAAGTTGGTAAGTATTCGTTCTTTCTAGAATTTCCATCGATGCAAAACATCAATATTTTTATGCTTGTGGTCTTCTAGGATGTATTCAAAAGGAGTTGGGTGTCATGGTTCCTGACAATAAGGATAGAGATCAGTACCTACGTGTTTCGGACGATAAAGTAACCGCCTCGTCACAGTATGACGGCAGATATGCTCCATATCGAGGTCGTCTTAATATGAAAGAACTGGGAAGCAAATATGGTAGCGGTTGGTGTGCCAGTCCTGAAGATAAAAACCCGTATTTCCAAATAAATTTTGGTAAGTAATATCGAAAATTATCACCTTCTTCAAATCAATAAATGGCCTATAATAATAAGTATAATTGTCTTTTGGAGAGAACCGATCCAATCATCTAAATTGTTTCACCAGATAATCCAGTAGTTTTTACATCCATAAAGACAAAAGGGATCGCCGATTCCATAGTGGGCCGTTCATATGTAAAGAAATACTATGTGAGCTATGCGAATCAAACTGGCCAATGGACAACATATACTAAAGACAACAAAAAAGTAGAGGTAAGAAAGCATTGTTACGTAATCTTTTATTTAGAAAGTTTCTAAATCAAGGATCTTTTCAGTTTACTGCTGCCTTTGACGAATCAACAAACCACTTCTCCTCCTTCGTCAAAGCAAGCTACTTAAGAATCCACCCAACAGAGGCGGAGAAGACAAGATCTGGTCCATGTATGCAAACAGCTGTTTATGGATGCGATCCAAGTAAGAGCTTAGGGCATAGTTGTTATTAGGCTCTCTTAGGAGCTTAAATAAATGATTATGTTGTTTACTTCCTTGTTGATTCAATTTCTAAAAAAAAATATTTGGATTTGAATAGAGGCCATTATTGAACAGCGGCCAGTCTCCGATGTAAAGGCGGCAGCAATATTCGTTCCTTTTAATGATCCAAAGGGAAAGTTATGGGGTGAGTTAGCATGTACTTCTAAACATTCAGCATTTCTTCATGAAACTATGTTTGAACCAGTATTCTTTTTTTCTTTATCTTTCATTATTGTTATTTTGAAAAGTAACATTCTCTTCCTCAGCGATTCCTATGATTCTTTTCCCACTTCTTCTTGCAATTTTCATGATTGGTCTTCTGCTTCGTTTCTGTGGATGTGGACAGTAAGTATATATGGCCTTCCACATTTCACTGTATTAATAGCTGATGATGTACATTTTTTTTGTCGTGACAGACCGAAAGGTTCGGGTACTGGTCAGCAGAAAAACCTCCTTCAGCCATGGCAGGACCCTCCATCATTCAACCCTTACAACGAAGTTCAAACTGTATCGATCGAGTTTGGAGAGGAGAAGACACCTGGAGCATTTGGAATGCATGCATTAACAGTTGCTTCTCCGTAAGTCTATTTTCCCTGCAGCTGAAAGTGATCGTTTTAAAACCAAATAGAAATAGTGATATTTATTTGTCTTTTACAGGGGTGGAGAATATGGTGGTGGTGGATTTGCGATGAGTGAATCCTATGGTGGATTTGCTTCAGCCAGTGGGGGTGGTGCCGGTGGGGCTAGTGCCGGCGGGTTTGGTGCCGGTGGTAGTGGCGGGTTTGGCGCCGGAGGAGGCGGTGCTGGTGCCGGGGGGTCTGGAGGTGGTGGTAGTGGCGGATTTGGAGCCGGAGGAGGCGGTGCTGGTGGTTTTGGTGCTGGAGGAGGAGGTGCGAGCTCATCGTATTCATACTACGAGTCTCGTTCTTCGTCGATGTTTCAAGATATGCCAATGGAAGGGGGACTGACCGAAGTAGACGTAACGTAAGTATAATATTCAAAACTTAAAAGATCAGAATAATTGTTTGAATCGCTATATTTCTGTTCTCTCGTTTATTTCTGCAGGTTTGACATAGAGGACGGTGGACTTGGTGGAGGTGACGGAGGAGGTGGAGTAAGTGATGTGTTCATTGGTGGTGGTGGCGGCGGCGGCGGCGGCGGAATGAATGCCTATTCATCGTATTCATCCTATCAACAAACATCGTCAAGTGCTGCTGAAAGTGTAGGTAGCGCTGGGGGAGTAGGAGGAGGAAATTTAACTGTAACTGGTAGTGCCATGACTGCCAGCGGAGGAAACATAGCAGATTCGCATAGTAATGCTCTACATGGTGCAGGAAGTGGAATAGCTACAGGAGGAAGTGATATGGGAGCTTCTGCTGGTATGGCCATGGGAGGAAGCAATATGATGGCTGAAAGAAGTGCTACAGCTGAAGGAGGCCTGCATCCTTTTGGTAGTGGATATGGCACTGTTGGAGGAAACAGTTTTGGTGACTATGAATCACTTAGCAGTTCTGCACCTGCAGATTACGAAGATATCGACGTTGGAAACCTCTTTGATGAAAGTAATAGAGTAAGTAATTCTTTATTATTTTAACTTGTTATATACCTATATAAAGACAAGCTATAGTTAGTATATAATTATTCATACCAACATTAATTAATATTACTTTTTATCCCTCAGAGGAATTATAAAATTATTTCTGTCTTTTAGATTTTCTCATTCGACCGCCAATATGTACCGAGTAGCTCCAAGACTTAAAGTAAATTGGACTGATGGCTGCTGATGGCTTCTTATGGATAATAGCGATAATTAATGACAATTGAAAATAAAAACAAAATCATTCAGCAATATTTTATTACTAAGCTTCTTCATGGTTTTAGTGTTTACACTCTTTGCTGTCTTATCAACACAAATTAGCGCTTTTTACCTCTAGTTGGTTGTACTATTTCACACCATTAGTATTTGCACTCTACTGATCATTAAATACTCGTATGTATAGAGCATGGCGTTCAGAGACCAGTAAAGTCAGTAAAGTACATGTCACGGAGAAGTAACATGACGTGAATGAAGTGACTTTAATAAATATTCATAGGTAACGACATCCCACTCTATCTATTGTATCTAACTTATAAAATAACTAAGTCACTTATAGCTCATAAGTCATGAATTACTCATGATGATTTTATGATCACAGAGCACCTTATACGCACTATTATAAGTTTTCTATAGTGGGCTTGCTTTCACTAATAAACTATCATTTTTTATCAATGAATGTGTGGCAGTTAGATTTTTCTATATCTTTTCGTAAACCTGTTGTGGCAGGCGTTCTAAGTGCAATTTCATCTGTAGGCCTGGCCCCGAGACAGGCGTCGCAAGTCATTTTGGAGAATAGTCTAGTACTATTGTTTCAGTGTCGTTTTCAAGACAAGAAACAAGGGAAGACCGTTCAATTTATTGTTTTTGTATTCATTTAATTATAACATTCCCTCGCTGTAACAATAGAGCTTATGTCAGACCTTTCTCCAAACCCTGTGAAATAGCAAGGCTCCGGACGAATATGGTAATTCCCTTGAAACTGTGTTACAGGCTTGCGGCTGTGTAGACTGATTAGTAAAACTTGCCAGATTTCTATAGAGCCCTACGCGAAGCACATTCTTTAGTAATTCATGGGGTCATGCATTTTGTCCTGGGCGAACAAAAATGCTAATATGTACGGAGGCCATTTTGGAGAAGGGTCTGGAGAATACTTTATCATGTCATAATAGTTTTCAATCACTTGCTTCCTATATTGCTTTCCTTCCTCATTAGTTTTTTGTGGATTTTGTATTTTACTAGTTGTAGATAGTATTGTAGATAAATAAAATCAAGGTTGGTCTCATTATCTTACATCCTTTTGTTATGCAGCCATAACAATTAATTTATGAACAGCATAACACAAGTGGAAAAGGTATTAGGCGGGAGGTTCTAGCGAATGCTTTATTTAACTGATTACGGAAGGAGACCATTCTTCTCATACACTATTATCTTTTGTTATGAAAACGGGGCAATTAAAATGTTAAATGAAACAAATCATCAGGGAATCTTTGCGCTAATAATGTAGGCCTAAAAAGATGATTGGAATACATGTAGGAATATAAAAAATGTTGTGTTTGAAAGTGCACAGCCGTGCTGACCGACAAACTAGAACCCAAGTTATCATCTATGATTAACTCGCGTGATCGAGTCGTTGAACGAAAATTAACATATACTTGACTAAAAATAACACATCTTCATTGAAACGAAACGAGCGATGGTAAAAGCGTTGTGGTCAAGATTGCTGTCGCTCAGCTACCTCAATACAAGTTCTTGAATGGCTAATATGGACTGCCAAGAATTCTCAGAACAGGTATGATTGATCTAACGATCTCGGGAGTGGCAAAGGAACAATCGATATCTTTCAAGGTGTAAAACATATAATATGAAAATGTTATAATGAATCAATACTGCGATATTTGCATGGAATTATAACGAAATATCTTTCATTATCAGATGCTGTCCTTTTAAGGAACAAATTTAAAAAATTGTTAAGCCATTTTTATCTTTCCCATTTTTCATTAGAAATGATGTACGTTCGCGTCCTGAGTATTCGCCAATAGAACTACTGTTTTCAGTGAACAGAAGAAATCTAGTTCTACAATGTCTTTACTGCAGTGAATGTTTTTTTTATTAGCTTTTCGAAGATGACATTATATAAATAAGAAAGAGTTGATGCAGCAAACCAAATAATATAATTTAGAAAAACATAAGATGCAGCTGCCAGTTTATCCATGAACAACGACTGTAGGAAGTCATGCGTTGATAAAAGATTCAAATTCCATATAAAGGCAATGCGATGATTTGCGTGTCTTTGTGGATTGTTATTTTGGAATATATAAAATTGTTTCAAGACCAATTCAGTATGTTGTCTGATACCCAACTATTTTCTTCGTTTTCCGTTAATGAAAATTAAATTAAATTAAATTATACCGTTAATTAAAACATATTTAATCAAACTGATTCCCGATTAATGAAAATGGTGTTATAACATGTCGGTATATTTTCAAGTGGATGCCGGAAAAATATTGATAGATAAAACAATGGACATCTTCAATAACGTTTTTTTTTGTTTTTTATTTTTTCATTTATTGACAGGAAGATATGAAAACGGCTTTAATGCAGTGTGAGAGATCTTCGAGCCTATATTCTCAATCATCCTTAAAACAAGAACATGATTCCTTAGCAACAACAAACATTGCTGGCCACTATAAAGACAAAGAAGACTATAACATAGAGTTGAGCTTTGTTGAGGAGGGGAATTGCTCCATTAAATATCATGATAATATACAAGATATTTTGACAGAATGTGAAGAACTGAAAAGAAACAAAATGAAAAATTGTAAAGACGAAGAGTTTCGTGAGATTTTGTCATCGTTTACACCATTGCATATAGCTGCTTTCACTTCTGATGCAGAAACTATCAGACTAATGATAAAGCAGAGCGGAATTGATATAAACGCTGAAGCGTTAGGTCCCCGTTCTCCACTATTATTAGCTTGCGCGACGGGAAACCGTGAAGCTGCGAGAGTTTTAATAGAAGAGGGAGCTGACGTGAACTTGGCTAGAAGTGACGGTATTACGCCACTTATGCTATCAGTACTAATCAATGCTAAAACCACTGCTCAGGTTCTATTGGATAATGAAGCAAATACCTCAGCTGTTGCCGTAAGAGGAAAGACAGCACTTCATTTTGCAGCAGCAAATGGGTTTAAAAGTATAGTGAAGCTTCTTCTGAACAACGGTGCTAAGTGTAATGCCGTACTTCAAGAAGGCTGCTCAAGCCTTCATTTAGCTTGCATGTTTGGCCACACAAAAACTGCGATGTTATTGTTGAAGCATGGTGCTGAAGTCGATCTACAAGATAACCAAGGATACACTTCTCTTCACTATGCAACACACAGTGAAAACAGTGATGTTGCTGTCAAGTTATTAGAGTTTGGAGCACAAGAAAATGCTGCAGATAATTTGAATTTCACTCCTTTGCATCTAGCAGCACAGAATGATCATGTAGACGTTTGCGACGTTTTACTTGAGCGCCAAGCTGATGCAAATGCAATATCACGTGATAGAGTAACGGCATTAATGCTAGCGGCCTTCCATGGTAATTTAGAAACTGTGAAGTTCCTGTGTGGCAAGGGAAGCAATCTCCAAATTCGACACAAATCTGGCAGAACTGCTCTGCATTTTGCGGCCCAAGAAGGTCACTACGCAGTCGCGAAAGTCTTGCTTGATTCGGGAAGCTATTTACATTCATGTGATTTACATGGATATGCACCATTACACAAAGCTGCACAAAATGGCCATAGAAAAGTATGTCGTTTGCTGTTAGACAGAGGAGCAAACATTGATTTAACCAATGATAAAGATACAAGTGCTTTGATTGTCGCTACCAATAATGGCCACTACAAAACTGTTAAACTGCTTCTTGACCGTGGTGCAAATACGCAAATTTGTCAGAATTCAGGAACATCCTCTCTTCATTTTGCAGCAGAAAGAGGTCATGAAGCCATTGCCAAACTACTTCTGGTAAAAGGAGCAAAGGTCAATGCATGTGATAAATGGGGACTTACTCCACTTCACAGGGCTGCGAAAAATGGTCATCATGGCATCGTCAAACTACTGGTAAGTTACCAGGGGAACGCAAACTTGACGGACAATTGGGATTATACACCACTTCACCGCGCATCAGAGAATGGTCATAGCTCCACAGCCAAACTGTTAATTCAACTAGGCAGTGATATTCATGCTAAAGACAAATGGAACTTCACTCCTCTTCACCGCGCAGCAAGCAATGGTAACACAGAAGTGCTTAACATTTTGCTTACTGCGAATGCCAATGTAGGTGATCGAGACGCAATGGGTTATACTGCACTACACAGAGCAAGTGAAAGCGGTTTTTCTGCCACTGTAAGCAGTTTGCTGACAGCAGGGTGTGACGTGAATAGCTTGGACAATCAAGGATTAAGTCCAATGCATCGTGCAGCGCTCAACGGTCACGATAGCGTCGTTACTTTACTCCTTGCATCAGGCAGTGATATTAACAGTGGTGTTTATGCTCAGAACACATCAGCTTTATTTTCTTACAAAAGAAATGGTAAACGTCTCGAACTTGACTCCCTCCCAGATTGCAACCAAGGCCCGAGTGCACTCCATTTGGCATCACAGAACGGTTACTACAAAACAGTTTCGCTCTTGCTTGAAAATGGAGCGAATTCAAACGCGACAGATTTTTGGAAGTCAACTGCTCTACATAAAGCAGCAGAGGATGGTCAGGTTAAGTCAGCAGAGGCTTTAATCAAGTATGGTAGTGATGTTAATCTACAGGATAAGTGGGGGTATACCGCTGCACACAGGTCAGCTGAAAATGGTCATGTTCAAATAATGCAGCTACTTCTCAAACATGGCGTAGACTTAAAACTCGTCGACCAGTGGAAATGTACCCCGCTCATGCGTGCAGCCCAATATGGGCACTACGATTGTGCAAAGCTTATCATCGAAAGTGGAACGAATCTCGACGAAACTGACCGATGGGGGTTTTCTTCATATTTGAGAGCGTGTCAAAATGGCCATACCAAGATAGCTAGTCTTTTGCTCGAATCTGGGGCCAATCCCAATCAAACAACTCAAGAGAAAACTACTTCATTAATGCTTGCTGCATATGGAGGCTTTCGCGATACTGTGGAAATGTTGCTTAAAAGAAAACATAACCCTAACGCCACCATGGATAAGAGTCTCACAGCACTACATTTTGCAAGTCAGAAAGGTCATGAAGACGTCATCCGGCTCTTGGTGACCCATGGAGCAGACATTGATGCAGCGGACAAGTTTGGGTACACACCACTTCACAAAGCAGCCTTTCACGGTCATGAAAGTTGTGTGAGGGTCCTTCTTCATATGGGTGCCAAACATGACACAGAAGATAAACAAGGATTCACCCCCTTATTAAGGGCCTCGCAAAATCACCACAAAGACGTAGAAAAGACCATCATTGAACATGAAACAAGGAAAACAAGAAAGGTGTGTTTTTGTGGTAATGTAACCTCTAATAACATGGAAACTGTATGTAAAGACTGTAAGATGATGGGTATGTATACAGTAGCACTTCCACTTAAAGACGGCGGTATTGACCTTCATAAAGTGCATATGGTTTGAAAAACTGAAAACCTAGCTGTAATTGACGCTGATATATAGTAGTAGACGTTTTGATATAATATGATTATGTTATCAGTGAAAATAATGATTAAATTCGGAATTAAACTAAAAAATATATAGGATACTGGAATAGCACTGCTTATGGCATCTTTATGATAACGATCTGTAAATTATATTCAGGAGACAGGTAGCTGATGGGAAAAACTCGTAAATAACTTTATAGCTGTCATGATGTCTAGGTACTATACTCATAAATTACATCATAATAATATAATCATAATTAAATTCACCGTGTTGATCTCATTTACCATTGCGAAAGGTCAGATCTATTTAACATACAATTTCCAAAAGTCACCGACGCTCAGATAATTGCAGTCATTCTTGTCTTCGTCACAACATAGCCTTCCTGGAATAAAGTTGATAAAGTACTTGTTTGAGCCATCTCCATTCCAATATGCTGGTTCATTATAAATACGGTAAGTACCATTGTGCTTATAAAAGCCCCATTTTCCTAATGCACTGCTGTTTCCATGATGGCCCCACCTATTGCAGTTAGATGCCAGAAAAGAGTTATCACCTGGACCACGAAAATACGAGTTACACGAAGACGTTTGCTTTTCACCATCTTGCGTAAAATATTTAAGAACTTTTTCTCCGTAGTCGTTTTTCTTTGTAATGACATGGAATGTCCTCTTTACAGACTTTTTAAAACAGTGATATCTTAACTGAGTAAAACCCATTGTATCACGCAGCTCTCGTATGGCCGGGACGTCAATTCGCAGTGAATTAATACTGTAGTTTGATATTGATCGGTAGTTAGACGTTCTCAGCATGTCCCCAATTGTATCATTATCTACGTTGACTACAGTGCTCGCAATAAGGGTCCACCCACCTATACATATCAAAAATGAAGCGCAAACAGTCAGGCTATTGTTGATGACTTGTTAAACGATAGGTTTTTTTTACTTTATGTTTTGTTTGTTCGTTTTTTTTCTTTTTTGTTTGTTTGTTTGTTTTTTTTTGGTTGTTTGTTTGTTTGTTGTTGTTTTTTTTCTCATGTGTGTAATTACAGGATTTGTTGGTATATCTATAATTGCTGATAATTGTGATACATCTAAAGAATCTTGTATCAAACATTTCGAAATGACTCAGTGTTTACTTGATAAGGTAAAAGTAGTAGTATAGTGGTGCAGTAATTCCCGAATAAGAAACTTATTGTATAAATGTTTCTAATAATGACGATAAATTAACTTGTTTGTAAATACCAATATTGACTTACCTCCATCTGTGTTCATGTCACAATATACGGTAAATGGCTGCATGCTATTACCCGGATCTATCCAGTACTCTTTATTGGCTAGCTGTAGCTCAGGTGAACTATTTCGTATGTCCTTACAGGATTTACCAGGGAGCGACATACTCGAACCAATCAATGCTGAAAATAATGTCGAATTAATTTAATAATAATTAATAATAATAATAATAATAATTTTATTTTATACAGCGCTTATACAAATCTGCTCTAAGCGCTTTCAAATTACAAACAATTACAATGACAGAGTCATGGTAGACTGCGAGCTTAAGATGGCGCCTCATGGCTGCCGCTCTTAGTCCGTCCCAAGATATCAAACTTAAAAATTACAACAATAAAAATTAAAATATAAATGACACTACAAAAAATACATACAAGGAATAAAGAAGCATGCATGATGGCCGGTGGCTCAGATGAGCTCATTCGCCCTTTGACAGGTCTTGTTTTTAGTCCTGCTGGGTGTACATGCCACCCTCCTCACCAGTTCGACTGGTGGGGGAGCCGGTTTAGACGCCGACGACCCGTCCATGAGGCAGGTTGTACTGGGTTACAATGTTACCAGTAGCAGACTCATCGTCTGTGTTTATGTTTACTTAGATTCGCCCAAATAGAATAGCAAATAGCGAATACCCCAATAAATCATCCAGAAGAAAAGGCTTAATGGTAATATATAACGTTAAATCACTCCGGTATGTGTACCTTACTTTTATAGGGGTTATCAAAGTATAACCAAAGCTGCGCTCTCATGAAGTGCTTAGGTTTCGATTCTCTGGTTCTGTTGTTCATTTCACATAAAGAATCTTCCATTTGGTAGTTGACACTTTGGCAACTGGTCTCTCGTTTGCATGACATAAAGCAAGTCATCATATCTAAACCACTTGACTGTCTGTATCTATGATTGGTTAGCTTGTAGCCTTGATTCGAATACAGCTTCATGCAATCCTGGGATGCGGTTATCATAGTTAGTACCACTAGCAATATTACATTAGGTAATTGCATTGTAGTTATCTCTCTCGCCGATATTATTGTAAAAGGAGGGTAGTTCTGAAACAAAAATGTATCAAATTACAGTCTGTATCACAGCATAAAAACCTTCAAAATGTTTGCTTTTAAAATGTGCACTACTAATGGCTCACAACTTGTCTCTACTTACAGACCAGAAATCATGTTTTCACATCGGAAAAGATCGTCGAACCACAAAAATTCTTTACTCAGAAAAGAGAAGGCTAAAGATGGCTTAATGTCAACAAGACATGCTAAAAAAGCACACACCACCTTTCATTTAAGCCTGTAAAAGTTTCTTTAAAAGAAAAACTAAGTTCATGTAAGTTATCTAATAGTTATGAAAGACCGACAATACTCGAGACAATACGTGGTCTCTAAATTAGCTGAGTCTATCGCGATCGGTTATATTAAGAAGTAACCGGCGATAGCACAAACCGCGTGCAACATTGGTATATGATTCAATACTGACTTACCATTCTTGAGTATGGATGATGAAGCCAGTTCTGTGTGGCCTTCAAATGTGAGCGCGACGATCCGTTCATCTGCTTTAAACTACAGCCAATCATGTGGAAGCACCGTGTGATAATAGATTGTCAATGTTGACGTACGGTATGTACACATTTGGTCAGAAAGTACCAGCAGTATTTACATTTCACCTCCGATGAAAGATAACTGTGAAGAGGACTAAGTAGTATAGCTACCGCTGATTATACCAATATTGCTTCAATATTGACATAAAATTTGGAGTTTCATTTTGAAGATTAGCACTTTACACCTGGCTAGTAGTGACAGACTTAAGTTTACACAGTGTCTTCATTTCCATACAGCTAACTTTTGCTAGTCGCGGGGTTTGATACAGGATCTTTCAAAGGGAAGGGTTTGGGCGTCGGAAAAAAACGCCAATTAAGTCAATATACTTAATTCCGTAAATTAGAAAATAAGAACAATTAGCAACCACAGAATTCCATAAGAATAATAATTTAGATCACTGTGAACATTAAGTAACTTTTGATAATTTTGTATTATAATTGAATGTGTCGCATTCATCGGTCTCAGTCCCACACACGACCCAGCCCATAGAACGAAGAGGACTGGAAGAAATCTTTTGGCAGCGATGGAGCATCATCAATGATTCTATGGACTAAGTTATGATTTATATCAAGTTCCTTCTTCGTAAACTAGCCGAATAAGTCCGGTATAAAGCTCGGCTTTTGACAAAATATCGATGATTCATAGCGATTTGTTCAAAACGTGAAGATGTAAGTTTTCAGTCTTCATGTAGACACATGTCACTTAACACAGCGACAATGTTTGATAAGAAAACTTTCACATAAGTAATTTTCACATTTAGTGACTAATTAATGTGGTGAGATTATCTGTGGTGTGACGTGATAATGCTGCCTCCTTTATATTATTGACTAAATATAATTTATCTCAAATCATATTACACTCATAACAAGAAACAGTATATACAGACATCTCATATTGCTTATTTTTTGTCACATGGCGCTTGTTTTATGTATACAAATGGTACAGTCTAATAGCACATTAACGCATGCATGTATTCATTTTATATCGTTCTTAATTTCATTAAAAGAAGTGCGAGAAAAAAAACCCGGCTAACTACAAGAATAAATATCATATATAAATAAGTCTTCAATATGTAGCTTTTTCATGCAGCAATAATCATGAGATTTAGCGTTAGGGATAGTCAACATCTACGCATCGCTTAATATAATTGTCAGAGCATAATTGGCAATAATTCAGACTCTTTGTGTGAAAATGAATTTTACATTATCCTTAAAACAACGATTTCCAAAGTCGTGGAACATAGCATATGCATGTGTACCAATCCATAAACCGTGAAAAAAACATTTTAGCTTCCTACACTTCACTACCCTCACCTTATTGTGCAAGTTTTCCTCGCTTTCGGTGAAATGAGACATTACTCTTTGGGTAATACTTCACTTTGTTTCACGGGTTAATGAACTCTACCATGATGACTGCTACAGAATTAGATTATGTACACTTTTATAAAAGACAGTAATATCACAATAATTACAACTCGCAAAAATTTCAAAAGTTTTCAAAATATTTAGTCTACTGTTGCCTTAATAATCGTGACAGAAGTCCTTTTAAGCAAAGAATTGAAGTCCAGTCAAATGGTATTTCTTTAAAGATATACCGTTTGGTGGTGCGGCTTTGAGGTTAGAGGAGGTGGTTCCTCTTGTTTGTTAATCTGTGATGCACATTCCTTCAGATGATCCTTGTAGAAAGATTTAGCAAACGTAGAAGAACAGTGTTCACACTTTCTTGGTCTTTCATCTCCACAGAATTCCATTATTTCGACCAGACCCAAGATGATGGCTAATCCATTCTTGGCCAGTAGGACCGATATCTCAAGGTGATATTGATGCCAAAGGTACAGACGAATCACAAGGAATGGCACATTCACAAAGAACATGAACATTAAAATATACACGATCTTGTATGATACTGATGCTACCTGACCATTTTCACGAAATTTGTTGTGTTTGAGCTCATAAAGCGCTAACACAGGCAGAAAGAAGTTGATGCACGAGAAACTTAAAATAGCCAGGGAAACAGACTTTGAAATTTTGCTTTCATCAAATAAATACTCGAGCATTTCGACGCTGTCAAACAAATCAATGGCCACAGCACTTGTCATTTTATCCAAGTAGAACTTTCTGACAGTGTGAGGTCTAGAATTGTGGTGAGCAAATATCAAGAAGAGGAACAGCGCAGGGGTGATACATAAGCACATCTTTAACATGTTTGGTCCGAATACCATCGTCTCTTCCTCTAGATTTCCTGCCTTTCGCCTAAAAAGTGTGGCGACTTGTGGGACGAGATGAAGCGCATACACCAACCAAGCGAGGTAAGCAAAGGCCAACTCATCCTTCACAAGTCCCTGATGATTTGACTGATTAGCTGGATTCAGACGACGGTAAGACATAACCATGGCGGTTATCCATGCAGCCAAAACTACCACGTCAGTAGCTATCCAAGCAAACCATTCTTGGTGCTCTCCTTGTATCAAATAATAATCGAGAATAACGCCTTGAAACAACAGAAAAATAATACCAAGTACACGAGCTGAGTGACGACGTATGTTAGCTGCCTGCCTACCCATGTTGAGTTCTAGTGCATAGAAGCCAAACCAAGTGATTAACAGTGGGATACGTAAAATATCCTGTCTTGATCTGAGGACTTGAGCGACGAGCTGAGACCACAGAAACTATATAAACCAGTTTGAATTAGCACTCAGTACACAATCAGATGAATCTGAAGTTCGCTACTCAGTCAAAGATCCCTACGGTTAGAGATATAATGAATTTAGTGCTCTGTTATCAGATGGAATGATATTCGTGCCGACAGCCACTACGCAACAACGTGGCATTTAATAGAGTTAATCTTAACTATAATTTGCATAAAACCAGTCACCCCTGGATTACAGGTCAGATGGCTCAAACAATTAGCACTCTATCATTTTCATAATTTCGAAAACAGCTATGAGAGTACCATCAGCTAAGAGTACCATCATTTAAGAGCTTCATTATAAAAGGATTCAAAAAGGTGAAGAACAGGAAAGCAGTATTCGGTATAAATGTTAAAGTTCAGGAGAAACAGTTTCTTCAGTTTATTTTTCTTTGTGTCAGTTTTAGGATCAAAATTAATGACCGGAAATAAACAGGTATTATCCATAATACAATTCTTTGTGTTGATGAGCGAGATTAGATTTTAAAGTAGCTGCGACCATGTTTATTTATTCTGATTGGATAAGAACATAAAGCTGGACGTCCCATCTACAATTGTAGGCTTTCCATTTGTTCATACAATACCGGACGTAGACGACTACGACGTAACCAATCGAAAGCAATCTCGTCATTGTCTGATTAAACAATAGAAATCAGTAGATGCCGTACAACCTTATAAAATGTACGATAAACGTTCAGTACAAAAGGAATAAACACAAAGCAAGTCAATTAAGCCGGAAATGACTAATTAAAAAGCAACTTTCAGTTGAGCATCCATGAGCTTCTTGAGAAGTGCGATAAGAAAACATTCAACAAGATCAAAGCTCAATAAGGCCATTCTAAAATTATAAATATGCCTTACGTAAGTTTAATCCTAAGAAGCCAAAAGTAAATACACATAGATTCATGAACGCATTTGTAAATAGATTAAATTTTAATTTTTAAATATAATTTAGCAATGTAGACCTCATTTCAATTTTTATACGTGTAATTATATTTGCTTGAATTTTCATTGTTCAGGTCACTAACCATAGTGCAGTACTAGCATGAAATTTAGCCGAAGTTTACCTCTAATACCTCATTTGGAATGTTACTTTTAAAAAAATCTTACAAGGGACACGCATATTTGAGCAATTTAGCTGAACTTTACACCATAAGGTAAGCGAGAGTATCTTTTTACTTCCCTTTGAATATTGGGTCAATATAAATAAGAGTCAGGCTTGCCAAAAATCTTCTTCACAAGTGCAGAAACATACAATATCCTGCAAAATTTCTTTTTCATCCAGGGGACAGCAATTGCTCTCGTTAAAAAGAATGACTGTTTTTGTGCATAAGTACTTGCACTCGCTCTAAAGTGCTGTATGCATACATTGCTGTCTGGCTTGATTTAATAAAATAGCTCATCATTAATGTGTGTTTTATAGCTGTTTATTTTCGTATAGCAACGCGGTTACTACATGCTAGAAGAGCTTGCTTACCAGAGTTAGAATACACGCTTTTTCCCACACCACCAAATTATAAACCATATATGTACACTTTTAAGCTTTGGATACTCCGGCTCATGCACTAAATCTTCACATGACGGTAATGAACAATTTTCAAAGCACATACGAAAAAAAAATGTATGGAATTTACTTAACCTCAGGCTAACGACCCTATTATATTATTATTGTTTCCGTTTCTCATGTGTTGAGTTCTTTTTTGAAAGACAAAGCTGAACCAAAGTTTAAGATTACTAACATGATAAATACTTAGATGAAATTGAGTTAAATATTGATTATATATATGACGACGGTTTAACCGCCCATTGTATTTTCTAATGTCTAGGCCCGTAGGCTTGCTTAAAAGGTCCGGTGTTTCTCTTTTTTATTGTTCTATTTTAAAACTCTTTTTTTTATGAACTCAGTGTTTGTGAGATAGTTTGTTATGAACTGCTCATTCTAGCAGCCAGTCTTTACGCACTAGAGTGCTCGCACTAAATGCGTGAAATATAAATACTACAAAATAGGTGATACAAATTCCTTTGTTTCCTATTTTATAATCAACACTATTTAGTAATAATTAGTACTATTTGTTTCACGCTTTAAGTGCGAGCACACTATACCTGTGCATTGAGCTAACTAGTTAGTAGTAAGGTCCGCATTAATAAGGCAGCCTACGGGCCTGATTATTAGACTTTAGAAACTATAACATTTTTTTATAATGTTCATCATATTATCTACTAACTCCATGACTTTTATGAAATTGAACTATTTATACAAAGAAGCACACTTATTTAATTCACAAGCATTGCAAATCTATAGGAATATTGCGTATGAAAACCTTTTTGAGAAAAATTCCAGCTGTTACCAATTATATAGATGAAAATGTTTATAAAACTCCCTCAATAATATTTTTCATCAGACTTAATAGCCATAGGTAGAAAACACTACGGTTAGCGATAATAGATCCATAAAAACACCAGAGTAAAGAGTACAAGGATCGTGAATCCTCTCATAGCCCACTTTAGAAGCTTGCTTTCCTCGCTGAATTGAACTACCTCAAGATACACTTCATCGCAGGTTACTATAACATCCTTTCTTTCTCCTGGTAATACAAAAAATGACAAATTACGATAATCGAATCCATAAAGGCTTAAAGCATAGTATACACTAAACGTCACGCCTCAAAGTGTTAGAAACAATTGGTCTGACATCAAGGAATCACTTCATGCAATAATGAAAATTATTAGGCAAATGCAACAAAACTACTATCGATAATCTTTACCTTGGTCCTTCTTGACTTCAAGAAGCTGCAAAGAAACGCCATCAGTACTGGGCATAGTTCCATTAGCTATAGCCCGTTCAGGATCTGGTGTAACATCTAGACCTTCTTCACCAATAGCACCACAAGCCATTGGTGGATCGTTGATAGTACTCCATGTAAGACCACCCAATTGATGACGAGGAACTGGTTTAGTGAAGAAGCTGACAACAGCCATTACTATGCCACTCACTCCAAATATAATAATGGCTGCAGATATTCACAATGTTATATAGTGAACACACACGGCTTATTTAATAAAAGTAGTATTTATTAAACAGACTATGACAACAATATCACTTTTACACTCCGTCAACATGGAGCATCAAAGGAGCTGACTTTCGATAACTTACCATAATACATAAAATGAAGCTTGACGAATCCTGGTCGTGCGTCTGGCTGACCACAATCAGGGGGAGGATAAATGTTGCCAAAAATAAACTTAAACATTCCCATTATAAATCCAACAATTAAGCCAGACAGAGCACCTGCCTCAGATAGGCGCGGCCATAGGATACCTAGACCAAAGACCATTGTGATTGGTGGAGCTAGGTAGGATTGAATGGTTTGAATGTAGACAAACAGTTGGGAACCATGAGCACCCTGTATGATTGGTAACCACACTAGGCTGATACCAACCAATAACAGAACAACCACACGACCAACGATCAATTTTTCCCTCTCTTTAGCCTGTGGGAAAAAAAGATAATTCATGATACGATAGAAAGAGCATTGTTGCCGGCAAAACGAAATCACTTACACTTGGTCTGAATATTAGCCATACATCAACAGTAAATATAGTAGCACTGCTGTTGAATGCTGATGATAAGGACGACATAAGAGCAGCCATCATCACAGCCATCATCAAACCAACAAGACCCGTGGGGAGAACGTTCAATACCAGCCTGGTAAAAATACCCATGAATTAATTAGCGATACTCGAATAACACAAATACTGATAGCATAGACTTACAGAGTATAATGTACTGTACGTCATGATATCTATTTATCACGTGATCTCATGATAGTTATTGAAATTAAGACTGTGTACCCAATATAAGAGGGAGAATGGGGTCCATTATGCAGAGGAAGAGTAGAGAAAGGTAGGGCAAGCTGACTTACTTGGGATAAGCGTTATTTGTACATCCCCATTTATTATTACAGTAGTGAAGACAGCTCACAGCATCAGCGCACGCGATGGAGTCTGGAAACAATACCCGGCTGATCATACCAGGCATCACCATGATAAACATAGGAAGAATTTTGAGAAGTCCAGCAAAGATTGACCCTGCTTTAGCATGAACGTTATTCTTGGCCCCAAGAGCGCGCTGAACGATCACCTACGTCGCAGCAAAATTAAATAGATTCCGTTAATTGCATATGCGTTAACATAATGTAGTAACGTTTGTCAAGTCGTACCTGGTCCGTACACCAATACCAGATACCCATTATAGGTAATGTGGTCCATATCCCTAACCAGGGGTAGTCTGGGTCATCTAGTGGTCGTATCATATTACCCCAGTAAGGAGTCATCTTGTAACAAGCCTCAGTACTCGTACCATTTGCAGTATAGTTCATAGCCGTCGTGTTGGTTACAACTTTGTATGGCATCCCGACAGCACTTTCGTATTTTCTCCATAATTCATTATATCCACCAACTTTCACAAAACCTGCCAAACATAGTGTATGATTGAATATGTTGCCAGGGGAACCCTGTGGCTGACACGCAGAGCGAAAGCTCGGTCAAGGTCCACACCTCTTCACTGATGACGTTCTGAAATTTGTGTTAAAACTTACTCATAATAGCTAGTACAATAGCACCAATGATCATGATAGCACACTGCAGGACGTCAGTAAAGATTACAGCCATTAGTCCACCTACAAGACAACGCAACTGTTACCTAGGCCGCTTATATTATTGTTATTTTTACACGAGCTATAAACCCACCTAGCAGTGTGTAAATGGCTGTGATTAGTAGGATGACAGCAGCAGAAATATACACGTTCCAACCAACTGCCTCATACAAGAACACACTTCCAGCATAGATATCAACCTAGGTATTGAAATGAGTCTGTTGGTAAGTTATAAAAGACATGACATTATTATTGACTTCTTTGCCTGACCAGGTTACAATAATTTATTAATTGTTGATTGTGAAAGTGTTCATCAGCAGCTTCTATTGAGATTTTCAAGTCTGAGTTTGATATTAGAGCTGTAATAATTGAAAACTGAACTAAATAATAGTGAATTAAAAGTGAAACAAGTGTCGGTTAGGCAGTGCTTTGGAAAATCAGTTTATCATTTGGTCATAAATATTCATTAGCAAACCAATTATTATAATTGAGGATCACTTACTGAGGTTTTTGTGAATACGTAGGAAATAAGTGCAACTGCAGTGAGGTATGTTCTCACCCAGCGACTTTGAAACCTCTTTTTTAAATACTCTGGCATGGTGAATACTCTTGACCTTAGGTAGATTGGTACAAACACCCAGCCAAGTAGCAATAATACCCAACATGCCTGTAAGAAAGATAGAGATAAATTTCTTATAGAGGATGCTATCATATTTCAATGTAGAGTGTATAGACCTCTGAAGCTTTTACGTCATGTACAGTATACGCAATGCATTGTAGGACATGTTTGGGACARAACATGGCRGATTTCTTTTGTTTTCTCTTGAAACTGATCCCACAATGCATTGAAAATCAAGTAGTGATGTAAAAGGTTCAGAAGTCTATTGGAAACCTAAACACTACTATACGATACCTATACACATTAATATTTCAAAAATAACAAATCACATGCTTCCTTTTTGACTTTGATGATGTAACTTTTTAAATTCTGACAACAATCAAGAACTTATTGTTAACCCTTTGACTCTAGGACTTTCAAATGTCATTTCTATGGAAATATTTGATGTTTTGTAATACGGAAGGCTCATTTTTCTTGCACAATGCTTTGTTTAATAGGTTGGGTTGTTTTAGCGGGAAGCTGTTATCCAAGAAATGAGTGGGATTTTTTAGCCTTTTTTGGAAATTGATGGACCTGTCACAGTAATTTTTGGAAGTTTTGACTATTGAAGAACACAACTAGCTTACCCTTTTCACATGTCAGACCATTAACTAACCAATAATCAATGGTATTGTGAGTCCTTTATGAAATTTAACAACTTGAAACATACCTGCCATTCGTAGGATACCACGCCCACCCCTGTTGCTGCACCAGAACCAGCTAATCCAATAAAGTGCTCACTTCCAATGTTACTGGCAAACAAGCTGGGCCCCACAGCCCACCATAGCATAGATCTACCAGCCAAAAAGTAACTTTCAGAGGTCTCTTGTTTTCCTCTTTGTTTTCTGAACTTGGACTAAAATATAATAATAGATCTATTTTTAGTATTCTACATTGATTTTTCTTTTTTTTTTTTTGTCATAAGGATACAGGAAGCCCAAGCTCTTAACTTGGACTTTTCATATTCTTGCGGCTGAATGAACTGATTTTGATAATCACACAGGGCCAGGAACAGGGCCAGGAACAGCGCCAGGAACAGCAAAGCTTCTTGTTAAGAAACATGGATGGTACAATACAAAATAATCCAAACACCCATTTTGTGATTAAAACAAAACAAAATTCTAATTTTGATCACCACAGGGGGATAGATTGAGAGCATATCAAATAAATATGCCATTAGCAATCATTGAAACATTGCATATATAAAACAAATATCAGCTGAAGCTCTACTTTCGAGGAAATATGCCAAATTCCCGCTGTTTCTGAGCATCTCTTTCGATTCCAGTAGCACTGTAAACATGACGCATTGTGCGCAAAGGTAACAAAAGATTATGTAACCAAGCTCTCGCGATGGACGCCCACTTACCGAAACGCCGACCGAAAACCCAGGAATTTCTCAAAATATGCCGAGTGGCACGTCCCAGCAGAAAATGACTATGGCGATGGATAGATATGAATCAGTCAATCTATATTCCGTTTAAGATACGTCTTTACTTATTTTCTACTTCATTGCTTTTCTCGTTGGAATGAGTGTATATTGCGGAAACTAAAAACGTGTTATATTCTTATATTTATTCTTATATTATATTCTTATATTTCGTGATGAATCTTTTACACAGCAAAAGTCGGTAAAATCCTTGAATCACGCGAAATGAGTGTCATATTTCACATTTTATTGTGATTTAAGTTCCGCGAAAAGACTTTTTGATCAGTCTGCCAAACATTCGTTTACCCTGATATGATGAAAACACAACTATGGACACAAAAACATTTCTCTTCTTGAATAATAATCAACTGAATATTATCCAAATCGTCCACACACATTATTGTATGTCAAGTATCAAAATCTTAATACTCTCTTATTAACATAAGCCACGTTGGCGGTGTTTACGCTGTGAACAGTTCAAAGTACAATTAATGTAGCTTTTAATTTATTCAAGAAAATATTTGTACTTACGAAAAGTCCAACTCCAAGACAAAGAACGAAATAAGCGGCGATGATAACCCAGTCTCCTACTTCCAAAGTTTGTGCCTTTTGGTCACCAAGAGTCATTTTTCTTGTAGTTCACTTGTTGTACGAAAAATATCGCTTTTTGTAAAATACGTTTGTAGTCCCAGCCAGTCAGCCACGTCGCAATGGAAATCTTTCTTAGTATAATCGTAGTATTTCCTTTTCCTTTCAGCTATACCAACTTAATATCAAGATAAAACCTGTACAAAAATGCTTGCAAATTGTTTTCTTGATTATTTCACCGGACGAGTAATTTTGAATCAACAGTACTAGTAATATTGCTTCTCTTCTATGAAAAACGCAATAGCGTGAAGGTTTGTTGAAGGCCAGTTGGGGGCGTGTATTGTGACGTCATGAAATCTCATTGGTTGATACTAATTTATTCTAGTTCAAAAAGGTGGGCCACCTGAAAAAGACGTAAAATGTTGTCTATTTCGACGGACAAGGTTTTCAAGATCGGTTTCCATTCTGTTTCATTTTACTAAAACAACTTAAGAGTTAGATCATATATGACAGTAATACAATTTTTAGTGAATCGTGATTAAGATATAATATAATAAATTCCTGGCCAAAAAAACTCATTTTTCTATTTTATCTATTTCGACAAACAACAGTGAATTCCTATCAGTGAACTGTTGGTTCCCATGACATATACCTTTGTCAGCCAAATTCATGTATTTTAACCATATAAATCGTGCCATCGGGTTACTTTTCCCCATATTATTGGTATGTTTCATTTCGAGTGACCTCCAAAACTACGTTATGTATCAACATTGTTTTCTCTCTAGTCCTTGTATTTGTACTCAGATCGGTAGTGACATTTTCCGATGACGGATTGCTCATTTACGCCATGTTAGATGTAAAGGGAGGTTAGAAAAAATTCAAGAGTCGTTCTATTTGTTAATAATATATTGTGGTGTTTAATGCTTTAATATTTATACTATCAAGGCTCATACCAGTCATAGTATTGGTTTTGCTGCGACGTCACTAGTTTTCGCGCCAAAACAGTGAACATGTCTGAAATGCCTTTGCGTCCCCCTTCTGGATTTTACTAGAATGGGTTATATACTGTTTACTACTAACATTGCGTTTTTGTCACCATAAAACTAACGGAAAACGTTTTTTCTGTAAAAAATAGATAATTTTAGACCGATTTTAGTTTAAACCTAGATCTATTACTTCAAGATGAAATTTAGGCCGGTTCCTTTGTAAACGCGAGCATCCAAACAAGAGCATAACTTTACTTACACACTTTACTTCTTGTCTTGATTACAATGTCTGATAAGAAATATTCGATATCTGTCTATCAATATTCACACTATATGACGTTAAAGTTTATAATTAAAGTTGTGGTTATAACTATGAATACTTGTGTGTTTGCTCGCATGAAAGCGAACTATTCACCTGTCAAGGTTGATAGTGATAAGATAATTATACTCGTGCAGGCACGAATTTCACTTATGACTATCGCGAGTAGTTAAAATGCTCCCGTCTATCATACATGATTATCTGAATTGTAAATACAAGACAAACAGGTGACCATACTGTTATTTCACTAGATGTCGTTTTGAAAACAATGCGTGCTGTTTGTACACAATGAATATGCACCAGGCGCGTAGCGTGGACGTTTTGGCACATGCCAGGGACCGCGACATATTTTGGATCTGGGGGTCTAACGACCGCCAAAGGTGGGAGTATTAAGGGAGTCTGGAAATGCGTTTTGAAAGACATCGAGAGCATATAAAAGGGATCAATTTTATGTGAATTTTTCAGTAATTTTTGTGAAAATTTTAATATTTCCTTGCCACTAGTATGCACGTGCGTATATGCGTAAAGGAGGCTACGCGCATGAGGCATTCATTGTTGATATAAACCGAAAATTGCACATTATTGATTACCACCATTGCATTAAGTGTTGGCAGCGCTTCTGACTAGTCGGCCATATCATCTGCCATTAAATATATTCCAGTTTTTTCCCGATCTCTTGTTTTACTTACTGTACTTACAAAACAAGAACTATAAACTGAACTTATCCAGTCATTGTTGACATTGTTATTTTAATTTTTTTAGAGATTTACTTTAGATACCCACAAGGAAATTAAAAATATTATTTTAAAAAATACATTTGTATAAGATGCAAAACAAGAACAAGAAAAATTAACTCTTTGACAAAAATTGCTAATGTTTTTAGCGCCACGATGTGGATTGTAGGCGTTACTGGGGGCGTACCCAAATCAGTACGGTGTGATTGGTTGAAAGCTATTGCATCATATTTACAACGTGAATCTTTGAGTCGGGTAATCCGCCAAACATCTCTTCCAGCAGAAAAAACGTTTACGCACTCTACGTACTCACCAAAAATACAAAGTTAAAATGAAAATTAATGTAAAAATTGGCGAGGAATGGTTTGTGATACCTTGTACATCGAAGAATAGAGACATTTTCTGGCTAATCGAAGAAGCAAGGCAAAGGCACAGGAAACGTGGCGGTCACTCTACTACGAACGAAAAATACGAACTGCGATCAGCCAAAAACGGCAGTCTTTTTGACGGAAGCGATTTTATACACGATGTTCTTGAAAACAACGAGTTTGTAGTTGTTGGTAAGACTTAGTGGACAATAACTTAAAACTTGTTGTTATAGAAGATTAACTTGAGATTAAGCTTAATTGCATATGTGAATTTTTTTTTACCATAAAATTCCTTTTTCAACATGTGTTTTGACGATGTTATTTTTGGGTTCTATAAAAGTTTGATGATCTGGTGTTGGCTAATAGAAATTTGGAAATGAATTTAAGGTGTGCTTGCTCTCTTTTTTTGAATAACTAGTTTAACATTGAACAAATAAAAAAACAAACAAACAAACAAAAAAAACAATTGAGCGGTTTTACTTGATAAGTACCAGTTCTTTTGCCATGCACTTCACAATAATTAACATTTTGGGCATTGGGCACACCCAACTGCACAAAATCGACCATAAAATTCAAATGCATTTGGAGTGCAAACTGTCTATGGACTAAAAGGCCAGACAAAGTTGTGAGCAATTAGATTTAGACGTGAGAAAAAATTGATGTCTTAAATTAATTAGTCCCCATTCCTGATATATTTGTAGGGCAGAAGGGACATGGTCTCCATACAAGCAATGTTGAGGACTTGTATCTTTGAACATTAATTTGATGGATTAAATTGCTATGAAAAAATGTGTATTTTTTTATATTTTCCTTAATGTTTCTGTAAGTGTCAAGGGCAATCATGGTGAAACCAAGGTACTGTAACTATCAATATTAAGGTTCTGTAACCACATATAATTTAATCTGGATGTCTTCGGAAACACCAGGCTAACTCTAAAAGAGACTCACTACTAAGTGATGCCTTTTTAGAATTGTATTCTTAAAGTAATCCATTTTTCCAATTGTGACAGTATATTTCATTGGATGGATGCTCACTGACTACAGATGACCTGGTCTTGTTAGGAACTGGGAAGTATAAAATTAAGGTAGGCTGGTTTCTATTAGGAAATATTTGAGAGTTTACCAATATCAATACAGTATTTGGTTTTATAAAACTATTAGTGCAATAAGGCCCAAAATTATGTTTGTCTTATTGCACTCTGGCATCAATATACATTATAAAAACTGTTGCAAATTTGAAAATACAAATTCTTGGAAAAGAATGTTGTTTAGAATCTTGTTTTGGAACATGTTTAGATAGCTGTCTATTGTAGTGTAATTTATATATTCTCTCATATTTTTTCCAATCAATTTTTTCTTTAAATTGCATGTGACTAGCTATGCTGAGGAAGGGTGTTTATGAAATTAAACTGACTTTTTGATTCCTGAACAGTTAACTGAAGAGTCAAAACAATTGATAAAGAAAGGAAGAGCTCTACTTGATGATATTGTAAAAGAGAACAAAGGTACTTTCAACTGGCATGTGTATGTAAATCTGTCTTTAAATATAGTAGATTATGATGGTTTTAAAATCAATTTTCCTTCAAGTGGCATATGGAGTTACAACTGGTTTTGGGAAGTTTGCTCATGTTTCAATATCCAAAGAGGATCTTATGTAAGTATTCAATTTTCTCTTGTTTTGTAATTGCAGAGTAATATTTCTCTCTTAAAAGTATACTAGTAAAATCAGTAAATAATTGCTGTTTTGTTTTACTTTGCTTCAGAGATTTACAGGAGAATTTGATTTCATCACATGCTATTGGTAATAAACATTAAGTTAAAATGAATTGCTAAAATGTTGATTAATTAACTTTGACAATGAAAGTACTTTCAATGTTTCAACTGCAGGCACTGGCAAACCTTTATCACTTGAGAGAACACGTATGTTGCTTGCCCTAAGAATTAACATATTGGCTAAAGGGTACAGGTATTAAAAAGTAACTTGCCCTGATGTAGCAATGTTGTGAAGTTCTGATTTAATCCTGACATTTGTTGTAACAGTGGGATTTCATTGGAAACATTGAATCAGTATATAGAAGCATTTAACAGTAAGTTCATTTATTGTTTATTAATTATTTAAACATTTAGATGATTGTCAAATGGTTGTTAATCGCCTTTCTTGTTTTTATCATAGATTCAATGTTACCATTGGTGCCTGAGCAGGGTACAGTTGGTGCAAGTGGTGACCTTGCTCCATTGAGTCATCTAGCATTAGGTATTATGTCGGGTCAAGGAAAAATGTGGAGTCCAAAGACTGGATTGGCTGAAGCAAATCTTGTAAGTCACTTGAATTCCCTCAAATCACATTATGATACCTTGGCTTGAGTTTGTTTGTTCTTTCTCTTACTGCAAGTTTCTCTGCTTTTCCCTCCCTTACTGAAGATAATTAAACCAGTTTCGATTTAATATGTGTTCCATGATCATGGCATGATTCAGTTGGTGGCTGCTACTATAGTATGTGTAGTAGGTTTAGCTAATATTGAATGTACTATTGTAATTGTTCTTAATTGATGAAGTGCATCTTATACCACTGACTTGATCACTAGAGCTGTGCCATCATTATCCATCACTTGATTGAGCTGCCAGAGTATAAGCTACTACAATTTATTTTATTGATTTTGATATGAAATCTAGATATTTCATGATATGTTTAATTTTATAGTGGACATACAGCACATTAATCATGGATTAATGGATTAGAATTAAAAATAAAGGAATTCCATTTTCAGACAAAAAAAATATTTAAGCAAGTTATCTTTTTTTTAAATCATTAAAAAAATGTTTCATTTTCTGGCATATCTGTGATTATATTGTACATCTAAGAAATTGTCTTTTACAACTTTATATTTGTATTGATTTCATATCTTGCTTTCCAGGTTCTTAAAGCTTATGAGATGAGTCCAGTCAAACTTCAACCCAAAGAGGTAAATTTATCATTTTTTTAAAGAAATACTAGTGCAGTTGATAAAATAATCAAATTGTCTGGTGTACTTTCAGGGAATTGCTTTAATCAATGGCACACAGTTGATAACAGCTTTAGGAGCAGAAGGTCAGTAATATACTAGCATTTTAAGTAACTGCACAACTATCAAAGAGTAAAATGTTTTCTTTTGAATTTGTCTCATTCTAGCATTAGAACGAGCTTATATGATATGTAGACAAGCTGATGTCATAGCTGCTCTTACACTAGAAGTATTGAAAGGTAGTACCAATGCCTTTGACAAAGGTAGGTTTGGAAACGAACCATCTATAGTCAATTCAATGGCAGATCTCTATGAATATCCATGTTTACTGCAGACATTCAGCGTGTTCGTCCACACAAAGGACAAGACCAGGTTGCAATGCGACTAAGAAGTCTGTTACATTCAACAATTTACCCATCTGAGATAGCAGGTAAATCATTTTCTCTTCATCATATTAACAGTAAAATGTTTCAAATTGAAGATGTTTTGCTATATGAGGTGATGATGGTTCCTTGATTGTAGCAACTTAATTGGCCAGTAAACTTGTTCTCTCACTTTAGAAAGTCATCGATTTTGTAACCGTGTTCAAGATGCTTACACATTGCGTTGCTGCCCTCAGGTAAGATAGCGCTTATCAATATCTATCCATGTGATATATGATTGTGGTTTCCTGTGTGTTTTGTAGGTTCATGGTATAGTTGAGGATACTATTGACTTTGTGCATGGGATATTGACAACCGAAATGAACAGTGCAACAGATAACCCTGTATCCATCTGCATTGCAGTTAAATGTTAATTTGAAGTATCATCATGGTTTTATTTTTAAATAATTTTTTGTTGTTCCTTTCCCTTGCTTACAACTTCTGTTGCTGTATCTTTCAAATCCTGTAGTAATTTTTTTCATGCAGTTCTTTTTCGTTTAGAAGTTAGTAGTAGTTCTCTGCTTGTCCTTAACCAAATCATAGATCATTTTTGCTGATCGACGTGAGATCATATCAGGAGGTAACTTTCATGGTGAATACCCTGCCAAGGTAATTTGTGGCCAATCATTCTTTCATTGTTGCTAGCAAGTATTCAGTAAGGTCTATAATGCTTATGATGTGACAGGCCCTTGACTATCTGGCCATTGGTGTTCATGAACTTGCAAGTATCAGTGAACGACGAACTGAAAGACTTATGAATCCTGGTAAGTAATCACTCGTCCATCATTGGCAGTTCTTACTTATCGTTTAGATTATTACAAACGCATTTGCTGACTGATTGAATGTTCTTCAGCCTATAGTGAACTACCAGCTTTTCTGACAAAAAATGGTGGTCTGAATTCTGGTATGTATAGTACTACATGCTATGCTTTGTTAGAGTACAAACACTAAATGTTTGCAACACTTTGTACTATTTTTTCTGCTAAATATAGTGCTATTAACTGAACGATAGAAAACAATATGCAATTAGCATAATCTAATTGATATTTTAAAATAAAAAACCGTTCTATAATTTCAGCTTATGGTATGATGCTTATCACAATTATCATGATTAACTTACTGTATGTTTTTTTCTTAGGGTTGATGATGATGCATTGTACAGCAGCCGCGCTAGGTTTGTAACACACTCATTGCTTATTCGGCCTAAGAATAACCTGCGTTGTCTAACAGGCGTTCCTGCTCATCCCCATTCCTTCTCGGCCCACCAGCAGGAACGCCTGCTAACAGCCTACTCTTGTTGCGACTCTCTTGTTACCAACTTTCATTCAGAGTTAGTTACGTCTTTTTAGTATCTGAAAATAAAGTTCTTTGCCATCCTTCTTCTGTGGATTCGCTGACAACGTCGGCTGGTCAAGAAGATCATGTATCCATGGGAGGTTTCTCGGCAAGAAAGGTTTTAAATGTAGTAGAAAACGTTGAAAAAGGTACGGCTCTTTTTATTGTTCAGTTGAATGGAATTATTATTGGCCATTATCTGCATCATCTAAAGTTTTATAATTTGCATGACAACCTTATATTGTGTGACATTGTAGTTCTTGCCATTGAATTGCTGTCAGCCTGCCAAGGAATTGAGTTTCTACGACCTTTAAAGACAACCCGTCCATTGGAGGAGGTTTACAGCCTTGTTCGCTCTCTAGTGAAGTATGTCACGATAAACCATGTGTCCTGGCACTACAATTCCAGTAAACTTTTTCCTTTTTTTCAGACCGTTAGACAAAGACCGTTACATGGTTCCTGACGTTGATGCTGTACTTGGCCTACTGCGACAAAATAAGGTGCGCTGACTGAATGAGATTATATTCTTTACCTTTTCAGTTTTGATTGATTACAAACGGCATATGCTTGTCATACTTCATTGATTATTACATGTAAACAAGACCAAAATCCGGGATTAAAATAGAATAGGAAGTTGAGATGCAATCGTCTTTACGCCTTGAAGAAGAAGACGAATAAATATGGCATCATCGTTACTCGAATCATACTTTTGAGTCTAATGTATAGTGATGTTCCTTTAGGTCTGGCAGACAGTTTCGCCTTTCATTGATCAATACAAACTGAATGTTGGTGTGGAAGAACGTGGGGTCAAGCGCCTGACGTCGCCCTCAGCTAGTACCACGTGCGATCATGAGAACGAATACTCAAAGAGAAGCCGAAAAATGAGTGACTGAATCCTTCAACTTAGACAATTATTTAATTACTTAATTATTTGCTAATCAGAGTTCAAAACCAGTGAGCGAGAGGGGGAGCGGCCAGGAGATCACTTGCCTATTCAATACATTATGCGTTTTATTTATATTTTATTGAGGGTTTTTTTTCTTTTCTTATATAATTATAGAATATTTTTCACAATAAACTAATGTATAACGTTTTATGAAATGACTATTTACAACTATTCTTATTATTTTAATGGTCTTCTATGAATAGCAAACGTTCTACCATAATTTTCCTCGATAGAGAAGAGTTCTTGGTGCATCGTCAGTGATGCTGCATTTTGCGATCTCCGTAGTGGATTAGTAGTTTTCATATGTAGAAATTGATTTTACTGGAGGACGTATCGGGAAGTCGGTCCTATTTTTGCTTCAAATTTCTAGTCAAACTAGAGTTGCGATTTGAAGTATGGCTTTTAGCAAATTCTCCAGAAGCTACTGTAACCATTCAACTACTTTAGGAATGAATAATAAAAAACTAGTGAGTGTAAAAGGTTGTGCTACGATAAAAGTTGTTTTAAAACGAAGATGCTTGTGACCATTGTTGACACACTCCACTCGTACGCCATTACATTGTTTTTTAAGGGCGTTATAAACTGTTCGTATGTTGAACTTGATTTTGGAGGATCTCTTCCATTTGGACAGAAAGGATTGAAGCTCCCATATAGATCGTGAACCTTATACTTCATTGCAGAGTCAAGTTTACACATGGATAGGGTCATATTTCGTGCGCATCGCTTTACGTCTGAGTAGTGCCTGAATATAACAAAAATATGCGATCAGTTACGTAGTTATTGCCTACTCTTTTAGTTTAATGAATAAGTAAGATTCGTCAAAATCTTTTGCATTGAATTTGTGCTTACTGGCAAAGCTGTGGATCCCCTCTGTTCTTTTTATACAGCGCTAAGAACTTTGAATTACACCTTCCCTGGAAGTTTTCAAAGTACTCTTCTGAACACTGTTCCTTTGAAAGCGTCAGAGTCTCTAAATGGCTGCCTTCACAATTGTCATTTTGCATATCATTACGTCTTCTATCCATTAAGTCTGTCAAAGCTTTGTCCAGGGACTTGGTATCTCTCGTTCCTTTCAAACATCGTTTCATACAATGCTTGACACACGGTATAAGAACTGAACTCACAATGGACCTGATGGAGGGGAAAAAGCTCACTAAAAATGCCATTCTGAGGAATAATCATGTTAATAGTCAAAATTAATACCTGCATCTTTGACCATTTTTTTTCTGCAATTCATGGATAAATCTTACAATGCATCTCCTGGACTTCATGAGGTAACTTTTTTTGGTACATCTGCCAAATCCCGATGATCCTACGAAAAATACAATCAATAACTTCTCATCCACTAGGCCATATGTGATGTTGAATGGGCAAAATTTCGTACCTTTTCTAACTCGTTTCTTAATAATGTCTTGACTGTTTTTACAGTAAGGATTGTACGATTCTTCGTAAATTCCTTTGAGGTAAGACGTCATCGACGATGTTTTACAATTTCTGTTTATGGCTTTCGCCATACATTTTCTTGCTTTGTAGTACCACCTGTAAGTCCGTTAACAAGAGTATTGTAATCTTACACAGGCCTGATCACTATCACCAAAAAGATATTTACCTGCACAATTTTGGGCTTCCTCTGTTCCTTGAAAACCGTTTCAGGAATTTCTTGGCACATGTTTCAGCCTTCTTAAATAGTGCCGGCGTGCACGTATTAAGATCGGACGGTTTGTAGTTTGTCAGGGTTAACAGCATACCATTTTGACAGAAGAAGAGTTCACTAGCGGAATATATAGCGAATAATTGTTGAATATCGTGTACGGTTCGATTATCAGGCTTTGGTGAGGTATTAAGGCACTTTTCTTTGTTAGTAGTCAGGCATCGCTGTAGGCTCGAATACTGCTCACTATGGAAAAGATGAGACAGCACTTAGAAAGTTAATTACGTCGAGAAATATTGAATTTTTATGTGTATGAAATATATATTTGAAATAAAATTCATGGAAGTAAAACCTGAGCTAAAATAATGTTACCTGCAATTAGCTTTGGGATGAGCTTTCCATGACTGCACTAATTGACTTACACACCCTCGGCAACTTGCTTCATAGTCCATGGCACTAGTGCAGGCCTTTGTATCCCGTGACAGTAACGTTGTGGCTATGGTTGTGGCTAGTAATCCAGCTGTAAGATGAAAACAATCATTCAAGGACCTTACCAATTTGACTGCATCCGGTTTTTATCCGTAAATCGTGTTTACTTGATTGCATTATTGAAACCCCCAATGAAACTGTGATTATGGACTCTGCGTGTGTTTGCATGTATGTTGAGGAGAATTTATGATATTACAATTAAAAAGCGGAACGTTAGTATTTACGTTGTCGTCACATAACTTGTGAAAGTGAAAGGAACATATGAATGGACGCCCCACCGCAATACGTCACGTAAGTGCTATTTTTAGATCTCACAAATAATTCTAACGTCACTTTGTTAATCTTTTTTTTTTCTTATCACAAGTGTTTGCGTAAGTCGCCTATTAATTCAGACTTGCTTTCTCATACAACACTCCTTGTCCTCGGCCAGTTGACCTCGGATAGATTTACCACTTAACTATGTTGATGATCGGCACCGAGTTTCTATGCCAATTTCATCGAGAAGAAAAAAATCTTTAGTCTACTTTTCTTAAACATTTTTTGGGATTTGATTATGAGGAATAATAGTTTGCTGACGCATTGGGAAACCCCCGTTTTTGTTTTAATGAACAATGAACGCTTCGAAGCGTGTTATAGCTCGATTGAACATCTTTTTGAATCGTATTAAATTTTGGTTATTAGTTCAAAATGAAAAATAGCAAAATTCTAAACGACACCTTGGGTCATGGTTAGTTTTATGGCACCCTACGCCTGAAGATACTATATTGCGTTGGGTCGATTATGCAAAAAGCTATAGGGACTGGGGCCAGAGCTGAAGGTGTTCTTTTTGAGTTAAGTCTGTGTTCATGACTATGACTGAATACTGACGAGTTAGCCTTATCCCAACCGTAATAGCAATTAATGGCCAGTTCTTTGTAAATACAATTACCGAGATAATGAATTGAATCAACTAGGGTCGTAAACGTTATTTTTATTGGTCGACAGAAATGCGATCGTTGAAGTGCAACAGGTTGTTGGTGTTTATATACGATTAAACAACATTTACTTAAGTTGGATAAGTGTTTTCAATATAATGTCAAATAACCGCACAGTTGTTTACCGGTTTACCTGAGTTCCTGGCAATGATCTAAATCTAATATATAAGCATTAAAATAACTACCTGACGTCGTCGCAACGTTTTTCATCACTCAAAAGGTAAAACTCTTTTGTTCGAAAAAAGTTGACACAAGCAGTTTTAATTTTTGGAGAAAAAGTATTTTAATTCGGGTTTTTGCTTCCGAATTTAGATTTTAGAAAAGAGTAAATGATATAAATTTTATATTGAAAACTATAATTCTTTCATTCAGGGTACAGGCTGAGTTTATACCGCTGGTTCCCACCATTCTATCTTTAGTTTTGCTGATATTCCTTACCTGTGAAAGTAGTCAACCAAGACATCATTCCTGTTGCTCTACACTTAGTTGTTAATCCTGGAAAAACTTTTCCTGTGAGTGCTTTCAGCACTGAGTTTCCGTCACGAAGTGAAGACTTTGCGAACTAAACAGGGTTTGGAGCTTCCAAGAGTTAATATTGCATATCCGGGGATTCCAGGCGATGTCATTGACGTCACATCCAGGTCATTTGTCTATTTTTATCAAATGATTCCTTGGAAAATCGTTTCCTGTAACAGTGCGTTCAAATCGATACACTGCAAGTTGATTTTTGAATTTTATATCTTCAAAATGCAGTATAGAACTGGTTCAATTGGGCCGGCAGTTGGATTGACAATATGTCCGAAATCATAGGAATGACACTAAAAGATATATATAAATCACTGTTGTAAAATACAGTGAAACCTAAGTAGACTGATTGACGTTTGCGGCACAAAATCTGTTGTTAGTTATCGCTATTAATATGCAAAGAATGACTACAGACAAATATGGTTTAAGTATACCAGTATAAATGAAGTTGTTTTCTCTTCAAAATAGCAATAAAAAACAATCTTTGTACCTCCAAGTAATGAATAATTACAATTCATGTTTTGTTTATCGCTGTTTTTCCGAGAAAGGGAGTTAAAAGAGGAAGACAACAGTACACGCCCTTCCGGTCTCGCAACAATATTTACCTAGAATAGCYAAATGATCTCCAGCGATTGTAATGCTGCTATTATAATTATTTTATATTTATGACTTTTATAGACTTTCCGGCATTTGCACTTTACCACATAAGAAGAGTTTATTGCAGTTCACTAATTACAGGTTCACTTAAATCTGTAGTTCTTTTATACACGACTTTCCTTTTCACAGCAAATGAAAAATTTTATTTGTCATTTTTATTCGAAATCAAATTGTTAATTTGGTGTTCTCTGTAGCAATAATTAGCTTCCTGTTTGTCTGCACCAATGGTTAACATTCATGTAAGCCTAGAAGTCATAAAAACATACTTTAGAAGATAGATTGCGTGACTAATTAATTGACTTGGATTAATCAATGGCTTGTTTGATTAATCTAACAGGTTGATTGCTTGATTGCTGATTGGTTGATAGCATGGTTGATGGATTGATGAATGATAACAAAGCGTAAACAAGTGTAACCTTAAAGAATGCTTCTCTGTCCAGACGTCTTCCTCTGTATTCATTTTCATTGCAGTTCTCGTTCCTACTAACAGACCCTAGTAATTGACAGTCGAGGCGACCATCAATCTCCTTCTTGAAATTATAAGCAACACATCTAAAAAGATGAGCTATAATTACATTACATTGTATTAATCGGCGTGACATCAAGCAGTGACTAAATATTCATTTGTTTTTCCGTGTCAAGCATGTCTCGCGACGCTTTAGCTCAACTAACATGTCACGCATGCCTTCAGTTACGCCCATGTTTACAGTTGTTGAGGTACAGTATGGTATTGCTGTATGTCACACATACCTCCAGTCACGCATGCATTTATCTGTACATTGAAGCTCACTGTATACATAATGACTATCCAGGATTTTGCCATTGAAAGCGCATGACGCGTTGTTGCTATTAGGAAGGTATTGAGTCCTCCTACACTGCCGAACGAGGTCAAGACACTCGTGAACTGACATATTTAATAATAATAAGAATTCTATTAGTATACATGGAGATTGGTGCTTTGTAATCTTTTCACCTCAATCATAACCCCAAATCAAATACAGGTTAGAATCCTTTGGCTAATATGAGTATACGATTATTTTCGTAGTAAAAAGACCTAGGCTAATTCCAAAACAGGCTCGCTCTACCAAGTTGCACTTTGATAGAGTTATTACCCGGGTTATTACCAACCTCACTGAACTCAGTAGCTACGTGTGACTGCTGTTAGTTTTGTGAATATCAGGAAGTTTGAATTGTTTTTGCAATTATACTTACATTTTTTTCTTCCATCGTAAGAAGTGTTGAAACAAAGATAGCCAAAATCGTTGTTCTCTCCTGCCATACAACATGGCTGGCCTTGATCTATTGACGCTTTGCAGGTACTTTCGTCCGTGTGTTTTAGTTTATTACACAATGTTTCTATGTATATTATACCACAATCCTCGTTTTTATTCCATTTGCATTCTATGGTAGCAAAAAGACGATCCGTGAAAAGTCTATCACAAGTCACTCATGATCGGGCGGTCATTCATGAAGTACATGATCTTTCCCAGTACTAGTCAATTCGTCACTGTGTCGAGTTATATATAACTAATTGATTATAATTTTATCAATCAATCAGTCGAAATCATTGTCTGTCAGTCTAAATATAGATGTGTTGGTGCAGTTCGTCCTGTCGAACATTCTTACCTTGGTATCCATGGATACCAATTGCTGTTAAAAGTGAAACACCATAAAGTAAAAGAGCATCCATCAGAGAACCTTTTGGATAAAATCATTGGTAAATAACATCAATCACCTTATGGTGATCTAATTTTAACATTTTTATTTAAAACGCTTCATTTATACATAAATAATCACTAATATGAGCACAGATGAGTGCATTGTTTTGTAGTTTATATTCCACTTCTACTTAATTTCGCCGTGAATTAATGTTAAGGGTTTGCTAATGACAAAGTTAATCTATTTTCCGCTCAATTAGTGTTTTTCAATTCGCCAGCTTGGTGATTTCTCGTTATTGAAAAAAACCCTCTTATTAAAATAGTCAATACAGCCTTGGCAGCGCACGAAAGTTAGAAATATTTGACTTGCATCTCAAAGCTGAATGCAGGTGCCATCAATGACATTATGGTATATTTACCAACTAGATTTTAATAAGTACGTTATCAGGAACCTTCCACAGAAAGAATTGTTTGCTAAGAGTCCTCTACAGTCCACCGCCTTGTCTTCGGCTGCTTTTATCAGGCTGAGCAGATCAAAGACAGAAAAAAAGTGAAAAAATGAGAAAGGTTTTTTTACGACGACTCAGTTCCGTTCCGGCGTTCACAGGATCCTCTAACTAGCGGTTACAGCAATAAAAATGCGCTATTGAAGATGCATGATGTAGTGTTCGAGTAAAATTTAAATCTAATACTTACACAAATCACTAATATATATTTCATTTTTATATAAGATTTTCATAATTCCTCAGGCAGTTCCGTTCTAAGAAATATATTCATTTGCACTCTGTTAATGTGTAATTGTCAAAATGATTCTCTTGACGGTTCRTCCTTTTTCAACTTTTTTTTCGAAAGCCACTCAAATTGACAGGTGTTTGATGCTGAGAGTTACTATATCTTACCTGATATCTTATCGTTCACAAGAAAACAGTGAGGCTATACACAAAGCAAAGATCTGCGTTGAAAGAAGACACGGAGTGTAATGATGTCAGGACGTCGTGAAATGTTTATTTTATGCAAAAGAAATGTTTATATAAATATCGATTATCACTCTTTCCATCCATTCTCTTATCCACCAATGATCTTATTTATTCATGAAGCTATGTTATCTATTCATTCCACCCGGCATCTCTTATGTATTCGATCAAAAATCGATGTCTGGTATAGTTTGAATTAAGCAGCATAGGATCGAACATTCACGGGAGTTTTTGTCGATACTAAATTTAAGAGATATTTCCTTTTTTGCATAAATTTCTGGAGTTTAACGGAACCGCACTATACTTTAATAGTGAAGCTTTTAACCCTTAACTGGTTTGTGTTTAGGCCTAATTGTTATAAACTGACACTACTGCAATTTCATGGTACGCGGATGACAAAAACTGGAGTGATATGGAATAGTTAAAACTATCAACGTTTATTATGTGTGTTATATATTCTCATAGCTTACCTATAAGGAAAAGGCTGAAGAAACGCCGAAGACGAAGACTTGCTTTCCTGAGCAGATCTGGGAGGATCAAGACTGGAGCAGCTGCTCAGTAGAGTCATTTTGAAGAGACTCATGATTGCCAATGTTGACTTCTGTTAAATCTTTCTGACAACATTTGTATAGAGTGAAAATGATTGATTTGCTTTTCTTTGTCGTTTAGCTGTATTTACTCTTTTGAAATTTGTTGTATTTGGATTTTAAAGGAGCTTCTAAACTTCATTTTAGAAGATGTCAAAATACTTATAACCCATCTTTGACGCACAGAACACACAAGACTTGGTTGAGGAAACTAACTAGTTTCGTCTTTACTTAGACCTTTTCAATTCCTCTACAACTGTATTTACTCTGTTAATGGAAATCCCTTGCACTTTAATGTATTCAGTAATATATAATGACTGTAAGTTTCTCATGTTGACGAATCTGTCCCTCATCGAACTGGTGAGTATGCGTGAACAGTCTCTTGACAAAGTAAAGTTTAATTTGCTTTTTGACAATCACCTCACTAAATTCAGGGTGGGAAGTTGTGTAGATCATTCAAATATTCATCTGGCTGTTCCGGTTCTTAAATCCTAAATCCGTCAAGCGACCATGCATTATCGTTACAACCGTGAAACGAAATTAATCAGATTTTGAAATAAAAACTGGAATTTCAACGATATTCATCATCACTTCTTTCAAGATCAGTCATCTTTTCATGAATATTCTTCGTGTTTGTTATTGATGCTAATTACTCATAGGAATGACTGCAGCAGTCCCAATATCTACTTGCTGCTGTTGGAATAGTCGTGAAATGCATTCGGGTAGCATGGCAATAGCGACAGTTTTCAACTCTCTATTAGATAGAGTATAAAGGGCCCAGTTACAAGTAGAATTTAAAAATGAAAGCCATTTAACGAAGTGTTCCACATGATCTTTGTAAGGATATTTCAGTTTTAATGTAGCGTCAATAACATGGAAGATGACAAACGGTAAACAAAACAAAGCAAACGCACCAACGAGCCAACTAATTGTTTTTGTTGCTTTGAAGTTTTTTGCCTCTTGGCTGGCGGTGATGTGCCTGACAGATCTATGCGCTATTTGGATTCTGCGTGCTTGATCTCTTGCGATGGTCAGGATGCGAATGTACGACACCAAACATACAAGAAATGGTATAACAATATCAGCAAGTAAAAAAACAATAGAAAACCCAATGGAATTTACATTTGATATAGCGCAAGACAGTATGAACGGCTGGTGTAGAATATGGAAATACAGAACTCCACTTGCTGCACCAAGAATCCAAAGACTGCAGGAAACTAAGACAGCAACCGTCATAGAAAAATAAACTCCATGACGCATGGGTCTTTTGATGGCATGATATCGTTCAACGCTTAGAGCAGACAGAGAAAAAATAGATACTGTTCCAAAGGCAACGTACAATGATTGCCATACTTTGCATGCGACAACACCAAGCGGCCAAATAGGCAAATCAATTAAATAGACCACCTCAAAAGGAAACACTATCACTGCAAAACACAGGTCAGAAATACAAAGGTTCATAAAAAACACATTACCAGGTTTAACCAGTGAGCTAGCATGTTTGTAAAATAATCGTAATATCAAGAGATTTCCCTGTAAAGTTAACAGTGTACATGCTAAGCTAAAGGCAATACCAAACACTAACAGCCATTGAGGCAAATCGAAAGATTTGACATGAGACCTGTGTAGTTGACTTGAGTTGCCCATGATCACCCCAGATAGATTCTTGGTTGACTAATATAACACGAATGCACAAATCAAACGACCAATGCAGGTGCCGACGCTTGAAAACAATTCATAATTAATTTTCTATCGTCGGCGTTTAGATCACGGAACAGCATGAAGTGAACAATTAAAGGCAAAAACGCCCCTCTCTACTTGTGATTATTTTTATCCTCCATTCACTCTTATTTCCGTGAGAAACAACTTAATGTTGCACAGCATGACTTTATCTACTCACTTTTGTTAATTTTCCATTAAGCTCACTGAAAACAGGTATGCTAAAATGTCCATCGGTTATCCTTTTGTCTAATCTATTGAATGGAATGAGCGTTTGCTAAAGCTTGAACAACTGGGATTTACTAGAATGAAAAAATAGTGGCAAATTGATTTTTACTAATGTATCTTTTGATTTATAATCAATTGAATGGAATGAGCATTTGAACTAAAGTTTGAACAACTGGGATTTACTAAAATGAAAAAAGAGTGGCAAATTGATTTTTATTAATGTATCTTTTGATAAGCTGGTATCATGTCCAAATAAAGGATCAATAAAAATAAGTCTATTCAAGGTTTAATTAAATCACTTAAAAACATAATGAAAGCTCGAAGTGCATTGTTGGAGTGAAGTATGATTTGTGGGCGGCTTTTGATGCCTCCTTCGAAGTGATCACTTAACTAATATCAGTCGCTTTTATACCATATTACGCTGTGAATCAATAATGAAGTATGATACATGGCATGGGGACTTCTTAATGTGTCAATGACTATATTAATACTTCTTTTTTAGATTTAACATTTTAGTTAGGAAAGTTGTTCATGTACTGGAACATTCTTGCCGTCACTAGTATTGTAATTAGTCCTACGTACATTGATTAATTTCGTAATTGACAATCAATCAAGTATATTGGACTAAAGCGTTTGATCGGTCACGATTAGTAACATTCGTTAATGATTTTCAAAAAACATTTACTTCTTGAAATTCTTTGGATCACTGGGGACTACGCAGTCTTTATTTATAAGCCAAGGAAGCAACTTTAAAGCAGAGTTAAAATAGCTAACAATGGCAAAGGTATGTACCTACAACATCAGTCAAGGAGTAATTATGATGAAACACTTGATTTTGTTCATTTTCGGATCAAAAATACCCATTGCTGAAGCTGTACTCTCGCTGACTCAAATACTATTGGATGGTACAGTACGACTACTCTAGCCCGCATGTACGCTGCAAAGCCTATCTCAATCCTGTTATTATGTTTTTGTTTCAAATTTAATGCACACTAGGTATCGCGTTGAACGGCGCATCAAGCCAGTAATTAGCAAGTCTCTTTTAGTACACTAGTACACGAGTAGAAAAAAAATGGTATTTAAACTATAAGTCGATTTTTTCCAGAAATATTTGATCGTGGCTTTCACACTGTTGGTATTATCTTTGGAGATCCACATTGGTGCTTCAAGTAAGCCTATTACAGTCATTTTCATCCGTCTGTGAAACAATTGCTACTATAGTCAATGTTTAATAGTAACTATTAGGGTGTAGTACTACCAAAAGGCAAAATCAAAACCGTGTTTTCCTATGATTAGTTTGTCGCTAGAGGTAGCATTTAATAGTGTACAATTCCTATTTCACAGACGGATGAAAATGACCCTACATTTCTAAATTGCTTTTCTAACTCATACCTTACTTTGATCTGTTCTGTCAGAGTATTTGTTTGCCAAGCCACACTACTTAGATGCACCATCATATATCACATATCAACGATAAAGATTATACTTTGCCTGTCTATGTGTTGTGATTTACCATTCGGAGTGCATGTATTACTTTGCACACTTAGCGATGCATGATATCATCAATCATTATTGGATCTCATGTTTTTCCAGGTGCTCCCGTGATTACTATCGTATCGACTAAACCTGCTAAAGAAGGACAGTCTGTTACAATTGAATGCCACGCCAAAGGATACCCGATAGCCAATGTATCGTGGTACAGAAACAATGTGAAATTGCAAGGGCAAAACATGGTGGTCAATGTATGTCCTTTCTTCTCATTTTTGTTACTCAATATCCACAGTATTTAATCTAAAGTTAGGATTTTTTGTCATCTTTACACGTATGTTTTTTTATTAAGAAGTTCCTGAACCTCTCTATGGCCCGACACATTTTCACAGCCCAGTCAGATTCGGGTGGACCATACGAGTGCCGTGCCATTAATGGCATGCCAGACAAAAATGGCACCGTGATTATCAAGGCTACTTTAAACTTGGTTATTGAAGGTGTCTCAACAACAACATCATCAACAACAGCAGCACCCACAAAACCCACAACCTCATCATCATCATCATCTACAACCACAAAATCATCAACAACAGCAGCATCCACAAAATCCGCAACCTCATCATCATCTACAACCACAAAATCATCAACAACAGCAGCATCCACAAAACCCGCAACCTCATCATCAACATCAACTACTATTAAACCCACACGACCAATAACTCATTCTCCCTCTAGTACACCTTCATTAAAGACAAACAACCCTAAATTAAGTAAGTATACAATATCTTTGGACAGAGCAGTCGAGGACTGTAAAAAACCCAAATGTTTGCTAAAAACTGCTCATATCTCAATTTCAGCGCCAAGCTCGACTGGTTTCAAGACTGATTGTCCTTGGATCTTCTTGGCCGTGATTTCCCTATTAGTTTGTTGTTTACAGGCATGACATCATCAAAAAGACGTCATAGGACGTGTAGTGCTGCAGGCTGCCTTTTGTCACGTGACACCGAATAAAACATATCCAAATAAGTGCCGCAGAATTTACGCAAAACTGCCTACGTACGTGTGCGTGTGTATGCATGCGGTACTAGTTTAGGTACTTTAGTAAACGTTATAGTATGCTGGTAAAGAAAACATTCATGTTTTAGATCACGTTGATTGTATACTTCAAATCAGTAGTTTTTAATAGGGTATGTAGTGTATCAGTAATACGTTGTAAAGATTAATTGCTAATGCTCTTTCACGATGTAGGTCAGAAGCATTATCCAGTTGTGCACAAAGCTTTCACTTTATTTATCAACTCACTAACTTTGCAACATAAATAGACAAATCCACTTCAAGGTTTGAACTCACATGATGAGACGACGCCATTATGAGAAAGTAAACAACATGAATAAGAACTTTCACAGGAATAAATAACCGGTAAATAATAATAATAATAAAAAAATTAAACATCAATACACACAAATAAAATATTGGATTTTAATGATATATTGTGTATTTTCATAGATTTCATTTGAGATATCACTTTGGGCCTTTGGTTTGTTTTGGCCTCAGGGCTTTTTTTTTAACAAGTCGTTATCTATATTAGCTCATAATACACGACTTTTATTACGACAATTCGTTTTCTTTTGTGATTCCACCTATCAATACCGCAACACAACTACAATTATTGTATCCTTACCCTAATTCAAAATTACAATTTCAGTACTCGCCCGATCTCAGCCGATAGGACAGAGAACGAGAACAGGGAAGAAATGAATTCTTTTGGCAAAATCAAGTGTGTGCAAAGGTCTTAATAAAAGATACGAAAGCTTGTCCGCTTCCCAATCTTATCGGCAATTGGAAGCAAGTTTACGAAAAAAAATCCGTTGTGCATGTAAGGCGGATAACGTATGGAAAAATATAGAAGTCAGACCACGACCTAATGGAAAGTTACTAACATTTATTTTTAGTATAAACAAATTCTATCCACTTTCGCTATGCACACATTTTTTTAAAAACTGCTACTGTATGTTACATATTATAAATCAGACTACTGAGTTTTGTTGCCCCTTTTTATTTTCATTTAGAATGAACTCAATATCACTTTTAAAATGTATAATTGTTATTGCAACAAATTGAGCTAACAATGGATTTTAGACTAACATAAGCTAGTTTGTTTAACGATTGAAACCCACCCTTATTACCTTGTACAGTGTAAATATACATTTTCTTTTTTAAAGAACGTACAATAAAATATCATTTTTTGAATTCAATTCAACTATATTACATAAGAATTATACAGAATGCACTACCAATAATCAAATAAAATTTTCCCAAGAACGAGAAAGGAGTCGTCAAAAACTACCTACAAATATAATACAATAAAACACTATAAAATGATAGTGGCAATCTAGGTAGTCAAGATAAAAGCCTATGTGTGTGAGTAGATGCATAATATCTTCTACAAACTAAGTGGGTAAGAATCCAGGATTACAAAGTTAAAAGATACCCTTGTGTATTTATCTGCAGTCATACGCTGGTTTAACCTTCGTCACCCTCAAAGCTGAGTTGGCCACCAAGTTGATCATGCTCCACAAGAAGTCCTTCCAAGTCGTGAATCATATCAAAGTTTTCACATTGTTCCTTTAATGCTTTGAACTGTTCTTTAGCCGATTCTGCCACCTTTGACTGTACATAAGCTTCCATAAGTGAGGGGATATCTCCTTCTTGTGGACATACCATCTTACTTTGGATTGCACGAATCTTGTCAGCTATTTCAGATGGTGATTCATTCCTAAGCTCTCGCACAGACTTTACAAGGAAATAGGCATCAATAGGTAGAGTAAGAACACTTGCCACAAAACCAGCAACATGGGTAGCTCTACTTGCAACTGACAAAGTATCAAATACAGCTGTTCCAATACGTGCTCCTGCAGTAGATGCAGTTACACCAGTTGATGTTACTGATAGGACAGCACCTACAGCTCTTGCACTACTCTTTAATGGATCAAGTTGTTCTGTTTCCATGATTTTGACACCTGTAATTTGCTGGAAATGTTCCATGACATTATTGATGCCATCACCAAGCTGGTTATCAGTATCACTCAGACTCTTGTCAGTATCAAAGATCCTACAATATACATGATTTTTTGTACATTAAAACATTGAAATAAAGTACATTAATACCATCATTGTTTGTGCATATATATTTCCCTAGCCATTCAGGATTCTGTGTAAATGTTATGTATTTTTTTTACCTCTGCACATTTTTTGAAATCAAGGAATCGAAGAGTTCTAAACTCTTTCTCAGTTGTTCACTTTCTTCTTTGTCTTCAGCAATTGTGTCTTCAACTTTCTTGACATTAATTCGTGATAAGAAGATCTCAGATAGTTTGGCACCAAATGTTGTCAGACCGCCTGCAGCAGCTACTGCCCCACCAGCCACCATGATAGGAATGGTAGCACCGAATGTGAAGAAAGAGCTGATGAATCCCCCAACAACAAGGCCAGTAGCCACAACAGAAGTGGATGCACCAGCTGCTGTTGCTATATTCACCTTACGATGAATATCATCAAGGTCAGATGTCATGTCTTCCAATTTCATGTCTTCCAACTCTCGTATTGTTCGTCTTCGCACAGGAATCCATCGGTCAAAGTCACCACTAACTTTTGTCTTGACACTTTGGAAGTCAAATCTCACAATTTCTAAATCAAATAACAAATAAAAAGCAATTTAATCATCATTATATCATTAACATGGCTAGGATACATTGTTTCTGCTTCTTTTATTGAGAGTTGCTATGGCTGAAAATATGTCCTAATGAGTTCCAAGTTTAAAGCAATAATTAATGTTTTTCAGAGTCAATACAAATATTCATCTGTATATAGTAATGTTTTCCACCTGAAATAATCACTATATCAGTCATACCTGTTAGAAGGGTAGGGAGGCTGAGAATTTTTACAATCATAGCAGCAGATGGTCTCAGTTTTGGATCATCTTCCAAACAATCGTATACAAGCTTTCGTAATGGATTATTACATGGAATGGCTTGTAGATCTTGATATAAAAGGGTGTGGATTGAATTTTCTGCAAACACATTAAAATAATGTCAGACACCAAAAGCTGGAAACAAGAGGTTGTAAATAAACCTACCTCCAGCAAGAGGGTTTTCTCTGGGACAAGGTAAATTACCAAGAATGCCTTCCAGAAGAGTCATTCCAAACGAAAACACATCGATTTCAGTGCCGTATGAAAGACCTTTGCCCCAGCAGCCATTAATATGCATAGTTCCAAAGGTTTCAGGAGCCATGTAAGCTTGTGTTCCTGGCACAGGAGAAAGCTCTCTATTGCATTCTCCTAGAATTTTTGCTAGCCCAACATCAGCAATTTTTGCTTTGATAATACCCGGTCTACTTCGATCGAGTAAAATGTTTTTTGGGCAGATGTCTCGATGAATTATTGGGTCATCTTGATCATGTAAGTATTCTAGTCCTTTGGCAACATCCAACATAATGGTGACCAGTTCTTCGAGCAATAGCTCTGAATTCTTTTCTTTAAAATAGCTGTCCAAATCACAGTCCAAAAGCTCTGTGATTAAAATGGGGGGCTTGTCATTATCTGTGACAATAGCAATCAAGCTTATAATATTATCGTGTTTCAAACGGCAAAGCAGTTCACATTCTTGGACGAATTTTGCAACTACGCCATTTTCATTTGTTGGAGAGTCTAGTTGGACAAGAAGTGGGTGAATACGCTTTGCTGCTACCAGATTTCCATCCCATTTCGCTTTATAGACCTCTCCATAGCTTCCTTTTCCCAGTAACTTGAGGAAACGTACATTATTTTGACCCATGTTTATCAAACAAAGCCCATCCTATAGTTCAAGGTACATCTTCAGTACAGTCGAAATCTTAGAGATCCATGTCGATAATACTGAAGGAAATCTGTTATTGCTGGGTAACAATAGATGCTAAAAATACTGCGTTTCTATCAAACAAACCGATTAACGCGGCAGTCTAGTCAGAGGCTTTTCACTTTCTCTTTCTTGGTGTTTGTGTCACGTGATAAGAATGGGAADGAGACACTACCAAAGGAAGCCCAAATCTCACATCGCAATCTCGTAGCCCGAGCCTTCGTTCTTCTTGGTCAGCGGGGAAGGAAAACAAACCATGCTGCTTCGGAGGGGAAAGAATAGGGGAAGGGTACTGGGGAGAAAGAGACAGGAGAGCAAAGGAATTTTAAAAAGTCACACAAATTTTCTTTTCAGATTTACAAGACACCCTAGGTTATTCTCAGTCTCGGCTTCCCCTAGTATAGGTAACCCACCCATTTTATACGTCGTGTTTAACTTCGCAATCTCGCAGTATCACGGCTGATTTCTACTTTAATAACGTCGAAATATTACTTAAAACTAAAATCTTCATCCTTCGAATCTTAGTGCGCTTTCCATTTGTAAGAACTGGCTGGCCAGACCCAGAGAAAATGTCATCATTCCCATTAGTTACGGGAATTCACATTTTCAAATTCTATCCATTATTCTACAGAAAACCTCGAAATGACTGAAAAATGTTGACAAAAAACATTATATACCTCTAAATAGAGTGGACTGGCCGGCCAGTTCTGCCTAAATGGAAAGCACCCTTAAATTCATGCGAGTTATGCGAATTCCCTTATTTTTCTATTGTCTAATCGCAGAAATACTAGTCGTCACTATATATAGCGCTATAATTGATTGAGCACTATTTGCTTGCTACTATTTCATGATTTTAGTGTCTGCACTCGATCACCATGGTGACTTTTGTTGCTTTTATTGTGTTGCCTGTTTATAACGGTATGAGAGCTTGACATGTGAGACACTATCCTGCGAGAGTGTAAGTCTTTAAAAAGACCACTTTTATAGCCAGACAACTGTCTTTCATCATTCAATAAACTCTCTCTTTGTTTATGAAAAGATAAGCTCATTCCACACAGAAATGGTGGAGATGTCTTTTGCCTGAGACACTTTTTTGTTCTTGTCTGTTGGAGTCTCAACATCGGTAGTCCGGGCTGCGCAGGATGATAAAAAATGTCTTCTGGTCGGACAGTATGCGAGATTCGAAGAGATGGTAGGTATCTGAATAAAAGTTATAAAGGCATTGCTGTAAAAAGCAGTTTTCTCGTCTAATCGGATGACCGTAAACCCACCTATTTAGGATGTAGATTAGTCTTGAAGCATCGATATCACTCGTAAAGCAGGATATTGTACTGGAATCCAAACCACGGGCCTACAAAAAAAAATTAAAGTCATCATGATGAGAACTGTTATGCAGACATATAACGCGTGCAATCAACTTACCACTTCAAGATCTTTGTTCTGTCTGAAATCTGGTCTTTGTTTCTGTGTTTTTTTTGGATCATACATTTATAGTTAGTCTTCAAAAAATTACTACCATTGAAACAAAACTTACCTCAATCTCTTTAAACTTTCCCCTTAACAGCCATGCGCAGGCATGTCTGGGATTTAGCCATATTGCGTCATTGGCACATTTGGCTGCCTAAAGAATAATACCAGTATAGTTAAGTTTAATTTCTGATTTAAACCAACAGTGAGTGCTAGAAAGCAAATTACCGTTCGAATGTTTCTCATCAGAAAATTTATACAGGATTTGATGCAATGTAGGTCCTGCAATCACACATGGATAGAATCATATGTAAGGATCTCAGCTAGTCTGTCTCAGTTAGTACCTTAAAAACTTACTGCATTTTTTGAGTCCAGTTCCAAAGCTTCCTGAACGCATTTAAAAGCCAATCGATATTTTCCTGGAAATTAATATGGGCTTTAGCGAATTACGGGCTGAGCATGCAGTGTCATGCGAATTTCCTTTTCAAAAAACTGCATACCCACCTAGCTGAATATGACATAGTGCAATCTTTGCGAGTGCCGGTACACGCATGTGAAGAGTTTTTCCAGATACACAGCCAATACAGCAGTTAACCTATCCGAGATATATCTGTCATTCAACACTGTCACTATGAAGTTTGATGACCACATACGATGATGGCGTCATAAATGATTTAGCAGCGTAATGGATAATGATATAATATTGGACCAGCACAACTAAATTAAATGTTTTGGCGGCAATCTCTACAACCTACTTTCTTTGTACTGATGGCCTTCATTGCTTTTTCATAGTGGATGCTCGCTTTCAATGATTGACTGAGATGTTGCAGGGCTTCTCCACAGAGCATGTGACATTCATATAACTGAAATATGGAAATTGCGGCGAGAAAGAAACTAATAAGTTACACGATTATCATCAGTGCACTATAGAAAGCATATATCCTTCACGGAGTGTGCCCTGGTTTTCTTTAAAAACAAAATGAGTTAAATTATCTCCCTAGTAACAGCAAAATATCTTAACTTGTGCTCGGTGTCAACAAAAGAGTTCTTACCAGCATCCTAAAGGGTTTGTTGTCAATACCTTTTTCTTTGACTAACTGAGAGATAAGCTCTTCGTACTTTTTCACTACCTGGATATGATAAAGACGGGATGCTGTTGGACAAAGAAGTGAACCAATTATACAAAAGCAAATATTGTACTAACCTTTCTCCAATTTCGACCTCTTTCAGATCTAATTACAGAGCGAAATATTTCACCGTATGTTTCCATGTACTTTGCACTGTATATTTTAATATTTTTGTTTCTCATCCAAAAAGTGATTAACCTTTATAAAGCCTGAAAATCGTTATTTAGTATTGGTATAGGATCTTAGAACGAAAGTCTTTCGTCTTAATTCAATTGAATAAGATTGTTATTCATCAGTACATATAGATTTAGCCGTTTCTTGGTACGTCTACGAAAAGCGCAGCTGTCTGCCCAGCTTTAAAGCAAGTGGCTGATTTGCATCCCAAATTTCAAGTCTCATTCATAATTAAAAGCAAATGTAATGACACTGGAGGCACCATAGCAACCGTAGAATATTTTTATGGCGGGATACAGTTGTATCAGATATACTGGGCTATAGTACGAGAGAAGCAAATCAAAATAAAGGGGCATCATTGAGTGATCAGTTAGCATCATGACAAACTGAAATCTGAAATCCTGTTACATATCACAGCAGGGGCGTAGCAACCTACAAGCCTGAAATACGCACATGGACACTTGAAAAATTGTCAAATTTAAAATTTATTGATTACATTTTAGTGATAATTGATTCGTCATAGAGTGGAATAGAACTAATTTAAAGCTACACATTTTTCATGCGTCTACTGGACTCTTGTATAGGACACTGAACGATGACTCTGCGTATATATTTGAAAATGCGTTTCAAAGTTAACGTTTTCGTTTTCGATCATTTTGCAGATAGAGCGGATTTCGTATGAGTGGGACACCGTTACCGCACGGTTGCCGCACAGTTACCGGACCTGGCCTGCACAATTTTGGTGAATCAATGGGGCACTAGAATTTTGGTTACAGTACGATTACGGTCACAGTACAGTACCGTCCGTTTCCCACTCATACGAAATCCGCTCTAACTTAGGCAGCCTTACTTAATATTACAGCAGAGATGTTTTGTCATGGCCTAACATTTGACTTCCCATGATGCTCAGGTAGTTTTGACGTACCTTTCAGAACACGCTGTAAACGTGTCTACAATTATAAAACAGTGAATTGTCAAAATTTTCTCTCTATCMCGGCGTACACAGTTTTTTTAACAAAGTGTTGGAGTGTATTAACTAAAAAGACAAAGAAAAACGTGCAATACATTATGTACACAAGTCTCGTAATGACCTACTTTAATCATATCAAAAGTTGACAAGTCCATGTACTTTGAGTTTTAAGTTTTCTTAATTTTGCCCCAAAACAGGTTTCCGTTAGAAAAACGCATAATTGTCTTATTATTCGAGCCTAGAACTGATTGGTTGTCATGAACACAAGTCACATTTAGATTAGTGTAGTAAGCTTTAATACACTGACTTCTACATGATTACTTGCAGACTGATTCAAACACATCTAAAGTTCTTTTAATGTCTTTTATTTGTGCTGAAATGGCGTAAAGGGGTCCCATATGAGAATTCAGTTCTTCACACTTTGCGATAAGAGTGTACATATTCTTTATGGACAGATCTACTGAGTCTTCGATGTTCTGAATCGATGTCTTGTATGCATCTACACTCTGTACACTTATCACTGACAGAGACTTCAGACTAGCGGCTAAAGTTCCTAATAAGTGATCAAGATTGCCAGCAACGTCTTTGGCTCTTGATTCAAGATCGTTTATAGCTGCATGGTCTATAGGAGGGATTTCTGACAAACTGTCTTTGTGAATACTTTCCCATCCTGTTATGTCTCTAACCTCACTTCCTGTGATCACATCATACGTATCTGTAACACTCTCGTATCGTTGGTCTTTCTTGTTTTCACTTTGACTCTCGTTTGATACACCAYTTAACTGGTTAACGATCTGTTTAACTCGATGCTCTGAATCTTTTTCAGATTGTTGTGGACCAACAGAGCTTTCCAAAACATTGTTTACTGGATCTTTCTGATCTGCATTTCCTCCCCTTGCACCACTATCAAAGTTCTCCTGGGGTTGATTGTCTTCTCCCTGTATTTTTGCTTCATTGATAGTTTGCTCTGTAGGCAGAAATTCTTTATCAGTCATACTGCAGCATGAAATTATAAGAAATCCTTGAAATGAATGGACGAAATCACGGAAAACAAGGACAAAATGTCTATACAATACAATTGTTGTACCCAGTCCACCGCGCATATTGAATGAACGACCGCAAGGTAGTATGGGAAAGAAAATGTTTCGAACAAGGAAAGAGAGCTATATAAAAAGCAATAATATCTTTTCTCAGTGTCTGTTGTGCTAAACGATAATATTTGAATTTCATAGCGAAAGCCCTTTTATAATTTTTTGAAAAGCGTAAAGTCTCCTCTCATTTTGTACATTGGGGTTCCTGTGGTGAAAATTTATTTGTTTGTCTGCTGGCCAAAGTGGTGATGTGGAACGTTCACGTTTCCTCACTATTCCCAATGGTTGGGRTTATTTACTCATTATGAATAGTACGCACAGTTCTTCAGCTGGATTAATGGTGTCTTTTAGACAGCAAAAACGGTTTTTAATATTTGTAGGAGCAGTGTTATTTTTTATTTTAGTGTGGTACTTACCATGGAATAATGTTCATGATATTGATAACATCAAGCCAGTGTCTTCACATATAAGAAGCTTATCTGTAGATGAATACAGTAATAAGATAGATATAGATCAGGTAAGGATAAGGAGATGTTCTTTAGTACACAAGAGTCTTGTTTTGTCACCCTCATTGCTCTCATCACTAACCCAGCATAGCCCCAGCTTTGCATAGTCAAGGCACATAGTAACTTAATTTATATAAATATTGAAATCTATGCCTCCCATCTCTGGGCAATACCAGGGGAATTAACATTTCAACAGTGTTAAGTTGTGACACAGATCATTCCCTTTGATATAGGCAGAAAATGCCTAGCTTGCATGCAATCCCACACTAATAGGCGATTTGCATTATGGCGTCATTTACTACAACTACCAGAATGCTTTGCCCACTTTCTTTTGTAATGTAATTAGTGCCAATTGTTTTACTAATCGCTAAGGGGATTAAAAATCTGAATAACAAAGAAAATGCGCAAGGCTTTCTGGTAGTTGTAGTAAAGTTACGCCATCATGCAAATGGCCTATTGGCTGCTCTTTTAAGAATGACACAGCCAATCAGAGAAGTGCTTCTACTTATTTACATTATGTTACTCGACATTGCATGTTAATTTTGTTGGGCTGGATCAATTGTTATGCAGTATTTTATTAAGTAAGTTGTATGTTATTTGTCATATTAACAGGCCTGGTTTGTTAAAAACTGCCTTTACACAGAAGATATAGATGAGCTTAAAATTGAGCATATTTCAAGAATAGTCAAAACGCTTTATGAATCTAATAAGTCAACTTGCAAGTAAGTTTAAAGACTATTCCTATCCAAAAGGTCAAACAGAAAACGATGTAGAATTATAGTATAACAACTCAGTAGTTRCTCAACCACAAGTAATTGCAGCCATTAAATTAAATATTTAAAATTAGATAGATGGGTAGATTATCCTGTATCATCCCCATTCAATGGTATCAACCATATATCCCAGTCTCATATGTTTGCTGTTTAACTGATGGCATTTTGTTTTGTTTTCAGAGAATTTAGTAACTTATTCAAATCAATTTATACAATAAGAGAAAGTGTGAGCAGTGTTGTCATTAATAAAGTGTTCGCACAAAAGGTTTGTTTATATTTTTATTGAGTAGTGTTTACTATTTTGGCTTTTTTTCTTATTCACCCTCTTTGCTTCAGGTGTTAAAATGGTTTGGGGGAAATGCAAAACTACTTGAGCAAACAAAACAACAGGTTGGTTTGTTGACAGAGCTTGATATGTTGTGGTTAAGAATAGTTGTTGAACCTGTTATTGATTTCAGCATGTATTATTTATAAATAACATTGTAACCCAAGAAAGTACAGTGTTCAATCCCCTAAGAGCCAAGAGGCCAGGTGCTGGTGCTGTTGGTCCAGAAGTTAAAAAAATGTGAGTCTTTGATATGGATTGAAATTTCTTTTATATTGTTATAACACATTGTGTTTCACCTCCAGTGTCGATGAATTAATAAGTACATCAAGTAAAGACTGTGATTTCTGCAACTACAAAATGTAAGTTTTAGAATCAACAAATCACATTATTGTACAAAAAGTAATTGACCAGATTTTTGCCATACGCCAATTCTTTCGCAGTCTGTGATTATAACTTATTTTGTTTTGTCAGAATGACAGCAAAAGATCCATTTGGAAGTATAGAGTCCAAGTATTCTGTAACAGGTTGGTTTTACTACAGTCATTGTGACGTATGATTTACACCGTACAGGATGCTGTTAACAGTTTTGCTCTCTCTCTGTACTTTTAGTTGCCAATACCTTTAAGATTGAGAAGTTTCATGGCCTAATGCTATGGAAACATCATAATCCAATGAATTTTACCAAAGAACAGGTAAGATAATTGTAGAATTGTTAAAGACACAGGGAACCCAACCAAGTGAACATCACACTTTTTCGTCTTTTGTTAGTGCTCCATCTTGAGCAACTTTTGCTGTCATATGTGATTTCGAGAAGTTTTACATATTTCGCATAGTATCTTTAGGAACGATAGTTGCGTATAGAGACGTGCTTATAAAACAATAAGTTTCGTTACAGTTATCGACATATGTGCGATAGACCACTCTCACCTAATAACGTCACGTGATTTAGCGAACTTACGATGAGTCCATGTTATTCTGACGTAATCCGTGTGATTTTACGTTAGACATCACTCTGACTTCATAACCAATCACTGGTATTCATGACAGATGAGAGGGAATCTGATAACGTTCTTTCTTCTGCTTGTCACGACTTTGTTTGATTTTTTTTATGACATTTCCTGGCGCGTTGATGATCACGTATATATCACATACATGGCGCGTCATAAACTTTAACTTTTCGAGGGCAAATTAATGGAATTGCGTGCGCCAAATAAATCGTGTTTGTAAAAAACGAAACATTTCAAAATGCCAACTTCAGATTATAGATGGCACCTCTTTCTTGAAGGAAAATCGTCAATGTGGCTTTCGGGTGGCTAGAAAAGAATGTTGCTGCCTTAACCACTTGATCACTAGACAGACTCCCATCTAATTGCCTTTATTCGTTTCACCACAACTTAAAGAGGTATTGGCTATAATTGTATAAACACTCGGCAACAATGCCATTTTACTAAAATTTTCTTGCATTTTATTGTTGCTCTGTCTTTATGATTTTCTTTCTTCTTTCGCCTAAAAATTAAATAAAAACGTGTACGATTTTCTACTGTTGTTCATATTAATTTTGTAGAGAAAATGTGAAATTCACTATTCTCTTTACTTATCTTACATCCTGCATCAACACTAGACTCTGTCAAATATTAGTATAGTAAAACTCCGCCTGACAATTAAACAAGTCATCTTGTCACTGTACAATACAACATTAATTGTTGTAGTACTGTCATTTCTTTAGTAAACTTGCCAAACTAGTACTTTCTTTTATTTTTTATGTCGTCCCTCTCTTCCTTTGTTATTATTTCGGAAAGAATCTCTGGCTCTCGGACATACTTCTTTAAGGAGGGCACCTCCATACTACGGACACACCTTTCTAAAACAAGAGCACCTCTATACTACTTTATAAAGAGGGCACCTCCATACTACGGGCACATCTTTCTAAAACAAGAGCACCTCTATACTACTTTATAAAGAGGGCACCTCCATACTACGGGCACATCTTTCTAAAACAAGAGCACCTCTATACTACTTTATAAAGAGGGCACCTCCATACTACGGGCACATCTTTCTAAAACAAGAGCACCTCTATACTACTTTATAAAGAGGGCACCTCCATACTACGGGCACATCTTTCTAAAACAAGAGCACCTCTATACTACTTTATAAAGAGGGCACCTCCATACTACGGGCACA